TAAAGACATCTGCCTCTTCTACACCTGCCTGAAGTCCTTACATGCTATTGGTGACATCAGATTTAATAAAAACCCTTTTAATCATTATGGTATTATAAACAAGTTTTAAGTTTAATAGTTCACCTTGTTGTCTTACCTTTCTGACAAAAGGGGATATTTTATATTTATTTAAGATTTTATGAAATAAAGACATTTTTAGAAAATTCAGATAGATTACTTATTATAGGAAGCACAAGATTGAATAGGCAAATGGAATGAAATAATTTTAATAAAATGAATGCAAAAAAGGGGGAGTTCATTCAATGAGATGTAAAAACATCAAAAGACATAGAAGTATTGATCAACAAAGTGGACCTTGACATGCAGTAAAATTAATGTTCATTTAATAATAATATCCTCCTGTTCTTGGTTCACTTCCACTGTGTGCAAACATTGTTAGTAGAACAGATTTATTTAGGTCATTAAATACATCTGCTCATTCCTTTACACAAACTGACAGAGCCACATACTGTTGTACACAACAAAGATATACATGAAAGTCAGAAACAAACATTTAAAATGGTAAATATTTGTTATTTAAATTTTTTTCCACAATTTAAAGGCAAGATAACTGTTTTTATTATTTTTTGGCTTAAAGAAATGTCAATCAAAAAGTTTACTGAAGCGAAAATCCTTTATTTACAAAGACTTGGACAAAGGATTAAGCAAGTAGCTATCTGATAACATTGACCTAATTATCTCTAATAAATATTGAGGTTTATAAAGAAATTGATTGTACACCAATTGCATAATGATTGTAATATGAGTTTGATTGCTCTACATTTTTGTGGTTAATTGGTTACAAACAATGCTTTTTATGCACATTTTATTGTAATAGCCATATATATATATATATATATATTCTTACACACATCCGTCTTGATTGCGATATTTATCCACTTGAGATAGTTAAATTTTCAAAATTTAAAAAGCCCTCATCACCATGATTGACAAGAAAACACTGAATGATATATAGTTGTACAGTGTTAAGAAGATGATATTATATACTGTAATTGTAAAAGCTACATTTGTACCTGACCCAATTACTCAGCTTTTGTGAACTCTTATGGTCATCAAAGCATCCTCTTAACCTACTGGAGTCTGGACCATATTTTAACATACTAAATGAGGGGGTTTGATCTGCCCATTCTTGAATTTGACACAGATACAAGGTGAAGAACATTGCAGTGGACAGAAATTCAATGCAAATACATATGTTGACACTTAACTGAAGTCATTGTGAATTGGAAGTTAAAAGAAGTGTGCAATTAATATTCACTTGATAAATAGTTTTTGTTTGCCTCCACCCTACTATTGGAATTTCCTACAAATAAAAATTCAGTTTTTCCATTACACCATGCACTCCTCCTTCACATATGCATTAAATGTTGAAACAATTTATCATGTTTATTTTCAGTTTAAAGCTCTAGGATAAGTGACATCCTGTTCATATGGTGTGTTGATAGGGAAATAATTATTCAAGGATTAATCACTTTCTGTTATGTAACCTCCAATAAAGTCAGTGAGAACTCATCTTGTGTACATATGTCAGTGGAGAGAAAATGTCTAAAAATTTAATTTCTAGTTTGAAAATTTGACCAAAAACGGTTATATTTGCCATGGCGTAAATTCGATTGTTAATGACTCAAAAATTCCAAATTAAAAGTCGCCCATGCAAAAAAAATTAAAAAGATATTGGGATAAAAAGCCCTTTCTCACATGTGAAATTGTATCAATATATTTAGTTAAGAAATCTGAAGGCGTACCAACTAGTTTTCGATGGAAATTTTAAGGAGAACAACTTTGCTTTGGAAAAGCACTTATTTTTGTCATGAAAATTAAGAAAAACACTAAACAGGGAATTATTTGAATCTGGAATAATTTTGAATTCTGGAAAATTGATAAGAAATGTATGATGAAAACTAACCAAATTCAGGAGGGTTAGCCATGAATGCATGGCTAAAGGGGGTTAGTTAATTCGTACTGAAATATTAGTGAAGGTAAAATTAACCTTAGCCATGCTTGCATGGCTAACCCTATTTAGTTAGTTTTCATCATACATTTGTTATTAATTTTCCAGAATTAAAAACTATTCCAGATTCAAATAATTCCTTGTTACTACTAGTTGTATTTCATAACAAATAATGTAAAAGATATATGAACAGATAAAGTTTTTATTTGAACTCACAGAATCATTCTTACTGCAGCTTGAACAAGAAAGCCAAATTGTTGGCAAAAAGCGGTCAATACTAGCAGATACTGGTCATTTGAAATTTTGATAAAAAATAACTATCGAATCCAGTCAGTCCGTACCTTGTGAATTACTGGGTAAATGGACAGTCTTTTTTAATCAAAGAAAAGGTTCTCTCAAAACTAAATTGTGGCATTTGCTTCAATTACTGTTAGTCATGAGAATATGAAAGTATTCTAGTCAATATCAGAGTTCTCATGAACACATGATGGACAATGATTATTAGAATAAAATCTTAAATAAAGAGGTAGAAACAGCAGCCAGAAGAGTATAGATCCTTCAAACTTTCATTTCCTGGTTTTAGAAATTTTTTATTATGCTTTTGAATAGTCAGGAATTAGTTTTTGGAAAGATTGGAACTATTGTTCCAAGTCTTTCCTAAGGCACTGACATCCCTTACAAGAAGTAGCACAGGTTAGTTACTAAATCTACAAAATGTATACACACTGAAATATAGTTCCTATGATTCTCATGTCTGTGTACATATGCACATATGATCTGTGAAAAATTTGGATTATATTTTATAGGTGTTCATTTAAGTATGTATTTCTTTAAGGTTTGTATATGTGCAGGCTACTTTTGTCATTTTCAAATTTGGGTAGCGTCACTTTTACCGTTCTTCAGTTATGTCCCTTTATAACTATATGATATGCAAGCGGGGGCATCACATGTGGACACTATCCACATTTATTTTAATCTTCGAATTCAGTGTCATTTAATCATGATGATTGTTTTCAAAATCAATAAGCAATTCTTAGAGGGAAAAAATAGTATGCCTATATTTCAACTTACAATACCCCAAAACAACTTTTTAAACAATAAAGTTCTGAGCTTCCAGTCTATCTGTTTGTCCCATGTCCCACAAGGATAATTGATAAACTTTGTTAGAAGAATCCTTATTGTAATTTCTTCTGTTTCAAAAGATAAAGCGTAAAAGGTGAAACATGTAACAGGGAACATTATTTTGTTATCTTCTCTTCCAATCTTTCCATGACTGACTGATTTCCATCACTTTGATTCAAAAATAACTTTTATATAAACATTGTACTTTTTCCCTGTCATATTAACATTTATTAGGGGGTAGTTGTTATACAGTGAAAACTGTCCAAACCGAACACACTCAGGACTTGGTGTTTTGACTGACTGATGAGGGACACCAAGTTAGGTCATGTTGATTTCAATTTAAACGATAATAAAATAAGATATACCAAAAAAAATGTTTAATTCATCAGTAAAGCTCATAAAAAATGTTGGTATGGTTTATGTCTGAGCCTGCGATAAACGTTGTAGTCTCAATTCTACACCATCGTCTGAGTCAATCAAGTTTTCTGCAATATTCACTGTTCAAGAAAGTTTCACAATCCCTGTCAAATTTCGATTCTGTAGTTTAATTGTCATCAATATCGCTGGTTTCTATTATCTACACACTTGGGTCCTTTGAGTTGAACTGTTGAACTAAATCAGATAACAGAACGTCATCATCCGGGTCTTCAGGCTCATCTGCATTTGATGGGGTCTCTAAAGGGAATCACAAATAACGAAAACATTGAGCAGGGTGTATATCTTTACTTTTGAGAATGTCACAAACAGTAGGTTTTACAGATCCCCTATTTCATAATAAGATCTTTTTTGAGATAATTTAAAATTGCCTCCGTGTATTCAATTAAACATATTTGCATTTTAAAAAAAGAGAAAGTCCAGTTCTTGCATTTTTTGGCGATGAAAATAATTATCATTTTTATAAATAGTTTGTTTCTTCTTATTAATTTTAATTTAAACACTGTCTACATGTACAGTTACAAGCTAATTAATTTATATTAACAACTTATCATTAAATTAAACTTCAAATAACCTCAAGGATTCTTTGCCAGCATGTGTTTGTTTAATCACTCATGCAAATAATTGTAAATCCTTCAGTCATTGAAATTAGCACAGGACCGACTGCCTATGTCCTGTAAAAATGTCTTCGGTCCTGTAAATTTTAGAGAATTTTGTAATACAATCTAAAGAGAAAAATAAACATCTTGACTTCGGTCCTGTAAAATCCAAACCCTAATTTCGATGGCTGCTTACATGTACATTGATTTGATTGCTATCAATCTATTTTGAATCTTTTAATACACATTGATTCACTAACGAGCCTTCAAAAAGCATTCAGAATTCAGTATCGGCAGGGTTTGGTTTGATCAGGTTGTATTAACGTTAATTGATAGGGAAATTTCATGTGACTTTGGAAATTGTTCGTTTTAAAGTGAAATTTGGTTTAATCAGGGTTCAGTTTCCCAGGTTTCAATGTAGTTATTAAACTTTTGGCTCCTATTATCCATATAATTGCAATGCTCTGATAATCTTGTCCCCTGTAATTCTATTTACCTGTAAAAATCAAACCTTTTCAAGAAAAAATATTTTGATTTATACATGTTGAAATAATTGATATATATAGCATTTCTAAAGCATGCAATATCATTACTCCTAAGAACTAACTTAGTCATAATTCATGTTAATAGTTTATAAAACATACCAATATCATTCATTTCTAATAACTACCGTAATAAGATGCCAAAAGTTAAAATAATTTCCCCTATCAAACAATCTTTTACTAGAATTGATAGTTAAGTCTGTTAAGAAGAGACTCAGTCAATATCAATTAAGCAGGCAAGACATCCTCGATGTCCATTCTCTTTTTGAATCATAATCTCTGTCTTTTCAGGTTGGTTTGTTGGATGCTAATGGTGACCTGACTGGTTTTAGAGATCAAAATGCAAGACAGAATAGTGAGTTTATTTAAGAGTTAATAACTGTTAATAAATAGAAAAAAAAGAGATGTAATTGAGATGAGAAATTATGATTAACATTAGATTGGTTAGATGTGATGTAGTTGTGATTAGCATGAGATTGGCTGGATGTGATGTATATATGATTAACATGGGATTGGCTGGATGTGATGTATATATGATAAACATGGGATTGGCTGGATGTGATGTATATATGATTAACATTAGAATGGCTAGATGTGATGTATATATGATTAACATGAGATTGGCTGGATGTGATGTAGATGTGATTAACATGAGATAGGCTGGATGTGATGAAGATATGATTAACATGAGATTGGCTGGATGTGGTAAAGATGTGATTAACAAGAGAATGACTAGATGTGATGTTGATATGATTAACATGAGATTTTCTAGATGTGATTAACACGAGATTGGCTAGATGTTATGTAGATATGATTAACATGAGATTGGCTGGATGTGCTGAAGATGTGATTAACATGAGAATTACTAGATGTGATATAGATATGATTAGCATGAGATTGGTTAGATGTGATGAAGATGTGATTAACACGAAATTGTTTAGATGTGATGTAGAATGATTAACATGAGATTGGCTAGATGTAATGTAGTTGTGATTAACATGAGATTGACTAGATGTCATGAAGATGTGATTAACATGAGAATGACTAGATGTGATGTAGATATGATTAAGATGAGATTGGCTAGATGTGATTAACACGAGATTGGCTAGATGTGATAAAGATATGATTAACATGAGATTGGCTAGATGTGATGAAGATGTGATTAACACGAGATTGGCTAAATGTGATGTAGATATGATTAACATGAGATTGGCTGGATGTGATGAAGATGTGATTAACATTAGATTGGCTAGATGTGATGTAGATGAGATAAAGACAATGGGATAAAAATGAGAAACTGGATAGAGGTTGGGGAAAGGGTATGTGAAACATTCACTTCCTGTTTTTCAGATACTTTCAATTGTGAGTGGGGGTATGCTCAGCATAAAATTGCACACTTTCTTATTCAAGACTGAAGTTGAAATGCTTTATATTTGTGATTTATACAGTAATAACATGCTGAAAGTTTTTATAATTTGTAAGGTGATATGAGTGAGTCTGACATACCAATGTATTGTTCGCATAGAAATCAGGCCTCGACAATAACGCTTGTCCGATTGTCCGGTACCAGAGGAAAAAACGGTCGGACAAGTAAAAGCTAGATCGAGCTTGTCCGACGGGACAAGTAAAATTATTCTGCAGAAAATAAATTTAATCCAACTTTGATGAACAAAGTAATTATAAACAAAAAACAAGAAAAGAAGATAAAAACAAGTATTAATTTGACATGTTTACTTGCAAACCGATAATTTTAAACTGGTTTTTTGTCAGGTACTTTTTAATAGGTAAAAGGCATACTATTCTCGGAAACCAGTTTTACTGATCCGAATCAGCGATGCGCTTTGTAGAAAAGGTAACTTTACAAGACAGTTCTTCACCAGCTCGGAAATGATTCGGCTCCTAAGTTTAAAAGACAGTTTGGCACGTAGGAGACATATTTAATAGACATGATTAATAGACAGTTTGGCAACACAGGAGACATTTCGGGACCAAGACAAATCAGTACCTCGTTTCCTACCTTATTCTGTTGCTTTATAATAAATACCATACCGGTAATTTTTTTAACAAAAATATTTTTTAAATTAAAATGAAGAAATTATTTACCATAAAATTCACAAAATCATATTTGATCATATGTAGAAAGAAACAATACTTGCAATACGGTGACCTATAGATGTTAATTTCTGTGTCATTTTGGTCTCTTGTAGAGAGTTGTCTCATTGGCAATCATACATCATCTTTTTTTTATTGATTGCATTTGAATAATCTTTTTTCAACTTAAACAACCAGGATACAAATCCAATGAGTGTACATTGACAGGCCTATCAGACGGTGCCTCATGTGCAGAGTCTGATGAGACTTTGGCATTGATGAAAACTAGAACCTAAGCCCTGTGACATGACTAGATTCAGTTGTTCTCGACTCATATTTTTGAAAAGTATTTCAAAAGATATAAATCAAATTCTGTTCTATTGTTTTAATTCATTTTGTTCCTTGGATCAACTTATAAGGCAAAAAAGGTTATTATTAAGATTTGTTTTGGACAAGTTACAATTTCATTCGGACAAGTAAGTTTTGGGTTGTACTTGTCCTACTGGACAAGTTGAAAAAAAAGTTATTGTAGAGGCCTGGAAATGTATTTGGGAAGAAAAATATGTCATATTTTATTAGATATTGTATTAAACAGGTTGCTTTATTAAATATTTATGTTGTTTAAATAAATGGTTTTTTTTTCAACTTGAAAGAATCTGAAATACTTTGCATGGATGCTTTTAAATTAGGATGAAATGCACCATGGTCTTATTTGAATTTTTGAAAAGTGAAATGAATAATAATTGACTTGAAAGTGAAAGGGGTATTGATATAATACATGAATAAATAAATAATACACGATTTTAAAAATGAATGTGGAAAAAACCTTGTATGTACAAGCTGTCTATAGCTAGTGTCTTGATAATTTGTTAGCAAAGGTATCACATTGAGTGGGAAATATAAAGCAAACAAAACAGGTTTCCTATTATTCTTAGTTGATAATCATGATATAATGGTCTATTTTAATTATGTTCAACTGTAGAAATAATTCATAAAAACAGAGTACAATGACAGTTTACATGATAAATAAATATCTAAAAAAAAATCAAAATCTGCTTTGTTCTGATCTCTACTTTTGAATATAGTTTGTATCATATTTTTTGTATTGCAAGACTTTTAATGCCCAACTGAATGATTTAGATTTTGGACCCTAATATTAAGTCCATTATTTCATGAAAAAAAAAAACATTTCGAGTTGATAAAAAAAAGACACCTAAGAAAGTGAATAGAACATTTTTGTAGAGCTTTGCTTGTAAAGAGTTTACATTTACAACCCTAATAGACCAAAAGTAGAGATTTTGGTGAAATTTGACAAAACTGTCCGGATTCAGGCCAAACTTACACTTTAGAAACATTGAGCACAGTCTTTGTCAAACTAGATATTCAAGTCAGATATGTAAAATGTTAAAAGATCATTTTGTCAAAGCATGTGCTCTATATATCAAGTCCAAAAAAAAATCATAGAAATTGTCCTGTTTTCATTGAATTTCTTTGGAAAATCCAAGTGTTGTGACATCATGATAAGATGGCTAGAAATACTTTCATTATCAACAAATAGACCTATTTCCTATTTAGTCATTGTTTTAGCTACATGTATGATTGATTGTGATATTGGTCAATTAATCCTAATTTGAAATTTTAGCTAGAAATAGGGGTCATATTATCGCCTTTTCGAAACCCACTCCTTTAATTTCCTCTTTACATATATCTTACATTATATATATATATATGTATATATATATATATATATGTAACACTCAGAATCGTGTCCTTCCTCCCAAACCCCCCAAACGTGTCCGATTCCCCCAAACGTGTCCACATGACGTCACTGAACTGCAAAACATGTCTAAATGTAAAAGGGCGCCAAAGCGTGTCGTTTGTATAAACGCCCAAACGTGTCCATTTTTTAATGAACACCCAAACGTGCCCAATCCCCAAAACGAGTCCATATCTAGACTGGTACCCGGCCGTTATTGAAATTCTGACAATACCTAGTCCATATCAAGTTTAATATTTTTCTTTTACTAGAACTATCATTCGTGTCCATATTATAAATATGTAGGTTATTTGGTTATTGCTTTTTCATTAACGTATACTCATTTTATTATTTCATTATAACTTAAAAATAGAAATAAATTACTTTAGGTCTTTTTTAAAACGTCACTATAACCTGGGCAAAGCGGGGGCGTCCGTTCGGCTATGTTGGATGTAAATGTAAGCAGCCATGCTCAGTTAAATTGTTGATATTAAATCAGATACCTGGTGTAGGGAGAATGCGACTTTCTCTGCGCTTTAAAACCTTTGTAGCAATTCACTCTTTCATGGTGCCATCAGTTGTATTTTGGAAGGCAACATTTTTTTTAAATTTCTGCAACTTTTATTTAAAACGGCCTCTATTACACGGAGATTGCAGTAGTTTCTTACTGAAGTCTTAAAAAAATCGGTCTTCACTCACTCTTAATTTTTTTAGATTAAAATCCCAACTAGTGTTAATCCCGAATAACCGTCAAAATTTAGGCCCAATCCTGAATTCCTGGTATGATAATAGAACCTATATACAGTATTTATTGTTAACATGATGTCGTCCAAATAATGTATGAAATATTTGGCACTGGACGTTATTTCTCTTGTTCGTGTGTCTTTAGTGATGCTCGAAACCTAAAATTTATTAAAAAACCTGAAAACCAGTTTATGATTTGAAGAGCTTTTAAACTATCAGAAATGTTGAAAAAAAGGGAAGTCAATTCCTCTGAAAGCCAGCCGTCGGATTAATATAAAATACATCATCGGAGTTTATTAGTAACACATAATTTACATAGTAAACGATTAATTCAACTGCACTAGAATTATTTGTATGTTCGCTCTAAATGAGCATGAAATACTTGCAACTGGACATTAAGCAAATTCAGTCAAAAGTTAATTCATATATGTTACATATTAAATTTGCAATTATGATAATCATTAACAACCGGCATTGAACAAACTAATGCTAATAAATTACTACCTCGTGATCAACTGTTTCCCCCATCATAGAAATGCCGTAAATGTTATTGATTTCATTTAGGACATACATGTATTAGCACTAAAAGATGTGAGACGTTCTGGCGTGTAACAGTGGACACGTTTTGGCGAATAACAATTATCGGATACGTTTGGGGGTTATGAAATCGGACACGTTTGGGCAGCATTGAATATTACGGACACCTTTTGGGGGGGAATAGACACGTTTGGGGGGAAGGACACGTTTGGGAGTGTTACATATATATATATATTATATTGGTAAATTATATTAAAAGAACAATACTGTTTATTTTACAGCAGTACAGTTGATAGCTATACCTGTTAGTAATTCACCAGCAAAGATGTCACCCTACAAGGTATATTATATAAAGAAATTCCTTTTCAAGGTATCAAAAGAAAATGTGATGGGAGAACCCTGAAAATCATTTAAAAAAAAAGTAGGTATTGCTTTCCTGGTGACATCAGAGGAATAGTTACCCCTAGATAACACTTTTTGCCAAAAGGCAAGACATAGTTGTTTCTTTTCCAGCGGTGGCTACAGCGTCGACAACTGCTAAGCTTTCTGCTCAAGTCAGTTTGATAGGACTGCCTGTGATTGATCAATGATATTTTGTATAAAGTTGCATTACTATCAGTACTTATCAGTTTGACAGCTATTTCACGGCCCTGCCCCCTGGTCATGGTCCAGCGACTTTCAGTTAGTAAGCAATTTTCAATGTTAAGTTTTCTGCTTAGGTTAGTTTGATAGAAACTACTGATCAATGATGTTTGCTATAAAGTTGCATTACTATCAGTAGAAATCAGTTTGATGACTATTTTAAGGCCCTGCCCCCTAGGTCATGGTCCAGCGACTTTGAATTGTTGCAATATTGCAGTCCATCAGATTGTCTTTTTTCAAATTTTCTGCAGACACGTGAGACATATCTCTGTGTCAACAGTTTATTAACCTTCAGAGAGCATAGAACTCACCCTATATGAAGCATCAGATTTAAAGTTGTTATACCAAACCTCTGCCTCCTCATCAGCATGTGTTACACTGGCTGAAAAGATCAGTCCAAGGGACTACATTTCTCTACCCTATCAACCCTTGTGGTTAGAAATGTTGTTGATTGACATTAAATATAAAGAAAATTTGAAATGGGAAAGTATGTTTGCATACTACAATTTTTTGTCTCGAAGATCTTCGAAAACATTTTAAATTGTTATTGGAATTTTCAAGCAGATTGTTGAGATTTCTTCCAACTCAGATCTTTTATTGATTAACTTCATGTCTAAAAATTTCATGCTGGTAACAAATTTCTCATCTAGTCCAAATAATTCGTCAATTGTTCTTAGTTTTTTTGCAGTTAACATTTTCATACAGTCTGGGGTTAAAATTTTTTAGAAAATAACTCTGTCAAACCTTCATGGAATGTAACAAAATGTAGACCAAACTCCTTTGTGATCAGGAAATAGCTTCTGAGGAAAATTTGTATCTATTTTTTTTTTTTTAAATCATATTTTACTGATAAATTGACTTAGTTTATCATGTTTATGTAACATTAAACATGGTAAAGTTTTACACTGACAGCAGTAAACGCAAGCAGAATTTTAAAAAGAACATGTTTATTGTTTTCTGGGTATGGAAATTTGATAAAAGCCTAGAAAAGGGAAAAGTCATGGACAAATAAAACAAAAATGGTGTATGAACCAATTTTAGAGGATTTCTGGTATATTGTTTTTTTTAGTCCCCTACCGACGAAGTCGAAGGGGACTTTAGGTTTGCACTCCGTCTGTCTGTCTGTCTGTCTGTCCATCCGTCAGTCAGTCCTGCAAATCTGTTTTCCACACTTTCCTTCTTCATGCTTGAAGATATTGATTTGATATTTGGTGTATTGTTTAATCATGACAAGTTACAGATCAAGTTCGAATTTTCTGGTCTGATGATTTTGTGCAGAGTTATGGTCCTTGGACTTAGAAATTTCACTCAAATAATCAACTTTCTGCACTTTTTTTCGTTATGCTTGAAGATATTGATTTGATATTTGGTATTGTTGAATCATGACAAGTTATAGATCAAGTTCGAATTTTGTTCTGGTCTGATGATTTTGTGCAGAGTTATGGTCCTTGGACTTAGAAAATTCACTCAAATAATCAGCTTTCTGCACTTTTTTTCGTCATGCTTGAAGATAGTTTACACCATGACAAGTTATAGATTAAGATAGCATTTTGTTCCAGTACAATGAATTTTAAACCAGTAGGGGACTTTTTGTCCCACGTCTGGTCTTGTTAGCGCTCTCACGTGTACAATTCTTGCCAGATTTTTATGAAACTTATATCAATGGTTTATGTATATATATGGCAGTCAGCAGGATTGAAGAACATTTGTTTTTCGACCTGTTAGTCAAATGCGATTTGTTAAAATATACTTTTTCACTTTTTTGATCTTTTGGAAAATGTTGTTTGTGCTGTATTTAGACCCCTCTAACAAGAAATTTGTTTTGCATGCACACATATAAAAATTGCGGATTTTATCCAACGCAATCATAGGTTTGAACGTTGTTTTCAATTTAGACTTGTTTATATATATATTTATATATATCAGCAATGTCTTGGACGAGTTTCGAAAATCAGTGCCGGTCAGTTATTTTTAAAAGAGTTATGCCCCTTGGAATTATTGATTTTTTTTTTGGAAAATTGCATTGTTAGCACACTCATGTGTACAATTCTTGCCAGAATTTTAAGAAATTTATATCATAGGTTTATATCAGCAATGTTTTTGACACTATCGAAAATAAGGTAAGTGATGATCAAATATTTTTAACGAAATAAATGTTTGAACATTTTGCAATTTCATAGGTAAATGTATATGAATGAAAGTTGTATAGGGATCATGAATTAGACAGCAACCCTTCAACAAAATGAAACAAAATGACATCATTGATCTGTATCATGAAAGTTTTTAATAATTTTATTTATTTTCTGTTTTTCTGTTTTCCATAGATAATCCAACAAGGTCAGCGACCCCTGATAAGTTCTCCACAGATAATAGCAGCTAGTCCACATACTCCAGGACATATTGGAGAAGCTGCATGGATAAACAGAAAAAGGGCTGCAGAAATCACAATAGAACCAGACTTCTCTGATGGGTTTGTATGATTAGTAGAAATCTGCACGAGCAATATCTGTAGGATCACTTTGTAAGGGATTGTGTCTTCGTCAGGCTCACACTACTCCAGGATCTTGAGGACAAGCCACTTCTCATTCAGATACTTAACAAGGAGAAGAGTCTTTAGAGGGAATTGCTTGCTTACTCACAGCTCTTCAATGATTTTGCCTTGAATCCTTTAATTTAATACTGTTTTTTGCTCAATTATTCAAGAGGGTTAAGTGAGCTGTTCTCATCATTTCGTGAACGTCTGTTTACTTTTACAAAAATCTTATCCTCTAAAACTACTCGGCCAATTGGAACCAAACTTTTCCACAATCAACCTTGGTGTATCTAGTTAAAAAATGTGTCCAATGATCTTGCCTACCAACCAACATAGCCAACATGGCTTAAGTTGGAACATAGGTGTAAAAAACAATTTTTGTCTAGAGAACCGCTATAGAAAATATGACGGAAAGAATTGTTTAGAATTGTGATCTATATACTGTCCATTTACATCAAAAATCTTAAATGAAAGACAATTCAAAAGAGAAAATCAACATTCTCTGCTAAAATGCTAAAAAAATATATAGTAGACAACCACCAACCACAACGTGATGGTTTCAGATTTAGAAAATGCCAGTATGCACCACACAATACTTTTTTGGAACCTGTGATTTGAGCTGAGATGTTTGTGATAACTTCAGATGAAAATAGCAGAATGGCTCACAAATATATATATATAATATAACTTAGGTCATAATATTTGTGATAACTTTAGATCTAGAATTGGCTGCGTACCTCGTACAAATATTAAGGATATCTTAGTTCTAGGTTGCACCAAAAAATAACCAGGGAACTATTCGTATTTAAATTTTACAGGATGCACCATCATAATTAGAAACAACTTGAGTTATGTTAATTTTTATACGCCCGTTTACGGGACGTATTATGGTATACCTCTCTCCGTCCGTCCGTCTGTCCGTCTGTCTGTCCGTCGTCAACATGTCGGACATTAACTAAGAAATGCTTTAACCAATTTGCATAAAACTTTGATGAATTGTTTATATCTGTTGACGTGAGCTCCCTTTTGTTTTTTATAAAATTTAGATTTTACGTTTCCGAGTTATGGGGTTTTATTCATTAAAAAAAAGGGGGATTTTCCAGTTTTCGGACAATAAGTCAAGAATGCTTTCACCAACTTGCAAGAAATTGTGGTGAATTGTTTATATCTATTGACATTCCCTTTAGATTTTCATAAATTTTAGATTTTACGTTTCCGAGTTGCAGTGTTTTATTCATAAAAAAGGGGGGATTTTCCACTTTTCGGACAAAAACTCAAAAATGCTTTCAGCAATTCTTTTGAAACTTTGGTGAATTGTTTGTATGTATTGATGTAAGCTCCCTTTAGAATTTTATAAATTTTACATTTTACATTTCTGAGTTATGGGGTTTTATTCATTAAAAAAAGGGGTGATTTTCCAGTTTTCAGACAATAACTCACAAAATGCTGTCACCAATTCTCATGAAACTTTGGTGAATTGTTTATATCTATTGATGTAAGCTCCCTTTTTATTTTCATAAATTTCTAATATGACATTGAGAATTAATTGAACTTTATTTGTTTATAATCTGACAACAGAGTTACTAAGTATTGCACAACAGCAAGAAATCTTTAATTGAATATAAATTCAATTCATATACTAGTAACCAATTTCAAGTTCTTTGACTACATTTATTCAGAAACCTATAATATGTCAAATATTTAATTACAATCCAAATTCAGACCTGAATCAAGCTTGAATATTGTGTCCATTTTTGCCCCAACTGTTCAGGGTTGGACCTCTGCAGGCGTATCTAGCTGCGCTCAGCGAAGCAGTTTATTCTGTTTGGCAGAATTATCATAAAAAGAAAACACTTCATTTTGTTCTATCAATCTTTAGCCTTATTTTTATACGCCCGTCAAATTTTTGACGGGACGTATTATGGTATACAAATGTCCGTCCGTCTGTCTGTCTGTCCGGTTTAAACATGTCGCACCGTAACTTGAGAATGACTTATCCAAATTTCATGAAACTTAACATAGTTGTTTCTTATGACGGTCAAACGATCTGTATACTTTTTGGTGAAAATAAGATTAAAACTTTTTTGAGTTACGGGACTTAGTAACTAAAACAGGTGTGTGTTTTTATACGACCGCAAAAATTAAAAATTTGTTGGTCGTATATTGGTATGACGTTGGCGTCGTCGTCGTCAACCGAAGACGCATTAGTTTTCGCACTCTAACTTAAGTTTAAGTGAATGGATCTCCATGAAATTTTACCATAAGGTTCAATACCACAAAAGGAAGGTTGGGATTGATTTTGGGGGTTATGGTACCAACAGTTAAGGAATTAGGGGCCAAAAAGATGCCAAAAATAAGCATTTTTGTAACTTCCAGACATAACTTGTGTGTTAGTGTATGGATCTCTCTGACATTGTACCACAAGGTTCCATATCACAAAGGGAATGCTGGGATTGATTTTGGGGGTAATAGCCTCAAAATTTTAGGAATTAGGGGCCAAAAAAGGGGCAAAAAACAAGCATTTTTCTAGTTTCATGATAATAACTTGTGTGTAAGTGTATGGATCTTTCTGAAATTGAACTACAAGGTTCCATATCACAAAGGGAAAGCTGAAATTAAGTTTGGGGGTAATTGCCCAAAAAGTTTAGGAATAAGGTGCCAAAAATAGCATTTTTGTAGTTTCCAGACAATAACTTGTGTTCAAGTGTATGATCTCTCTGAAATTGTACTGCAAGGTACCATACCACGAAGGGAAGGCTGGGATTGATTTTGGGGGTAAATGCCTCAAAATTTTAGGAATTAGGGGCCAAAAAGGGGCAAAAAACAAGCATTTTTCTAGTTTCAGGACAATAACTTGTGTGTAAGTGTATGGATCTTTATGAAATTGTACTACAAGGTTCCATATCACAAAAGGAAAGCTGGGTTTGTGTTTGGGGGTAATTGCCCTAAACGTGTAGGAATTTGGGGCCAAAAAGGGGCCTAAAAACAAGCATTTTTCTAGTTTCCAGACAATAACTTGTGTTCAAGTGTATGGATCTCTCTGAAATTGTACTGCAAGGTACCATACCACAAAGGGAAGGCTGGGATTGAGTTTGGGGGTGATGAATCATAAGGGGGTTCAAAAAGTTTAGGGGAGGGATTTTTTTTTCTTTAAAATTTTCCATTTTAAATTGGTTATTTCTGATTTATATATCAAAGCAAATAATAATGATATGGTTTGAATAGGTAAATTAAAAAATTTTAAGTTCTTAGACCACATTCATTCTGTGTCAGAAACCTATGCTGTGTCAAATATTTAATCACAATCCAAATTCAGTGCTGTATCAAGCTTGAATGTTGCTTAAAACTTTACACACTTCTTAGTTATATTAATCTTAAGATCTGTATACTTTTTGGTGATGATTCAAAATTTTATTTTAGAGATATGGCCAAAATAAATTAATAGTGTGTTTCCTATTTCATCTTCAAAAAAATTAGGTAGGGTAGGTAGGTAAAACATTTTATTTTATGAAAACATTTTTTTTTTTTTTTATTGATGGGTCGACAGCAGAAAAAAGTTCCAAATCAAATAGTTTGATGTGCGGGCTTCTCTGATATTTAGAAAAGTAATTAAATCTACAGCTTTTTTAATTTTCTGTTTTAATTCTGCGTCAGAAATATGAAAATAAACTTTAATGAAAATTTTATGCATTTCATTGGTCGTAAAAAGAAAAGTGTATGTTCTTCACGATTAATTATCTTAAACCAAAAATGGCAGTGAAAAATCTGGCATGGTATGTTATTATGTTGATCCTCGTTGAACCTAAAAATGTAAATGTCACACAGGGTATACATATGGAAGCAGATTCGTACCCCTTGAAAAAACTGTGAACCGTTCTAAGCAGCAGATAATTATGATTTTTTTAGGGTTAATACTCTGCCCTTGCACCCTCTTTATTTAATATACAGATGTGTTTTGATGTTTGACAAAATGTGATGGTGATTGAAGATTGGGTGTTCTGACAATATTAAAATTCCAGGTTTTGAGAAGAGTGAGAATGTGAAATCTTTGTCTTATTAATGATGGTAGTAATGCCTGTTACCGTCAGGCGTCAAATGGTCATTTTTGGCTACCGTTAGCGTCAAATTGGTTAAAATTTTACCTTAATTCATCAAAATATCCTTATCCTGATTCTTCAGAGCAAGGATTTGTATACTATAGGTCTCAGATAATTTTTTGGAAAAATTTTTACGTGATTCATCAAAATCAGTCAATTTTTTAACCGTCTAAAAGAAAGTGTACATTTTATCGTCATGCACCAAAAATTACCGTTAACGTCGTTTGGCAAGATTTTTTAGCGTTATTCTGTCTACATATGATTGTTCTGCCTAACAGAAGTTCCACTGGAAACTTTGTTATAACCAATGTCATAATATCTGTTCCTGTTGGAACAAATATTCTATACCATTCATTCCGTTAGGAACATATACTGTAATATTTATTCCAGTGGAAATAATATTCCAGAACACTTTTTCCATTTGAAACTTCTATTTCGTGACAATTCGTCGTGAAGGTACCTCATTAATCTACTGGTCAAATAAATTGCAGATGTAAATATGACAGGATTTTTTCCCTTTTCTTGTATAAATTGTTATGGGACCAGCCAGAGAAATAAAAAAGAATAAAAGTAGACATGGTGCTGGGGCAGATTCATTTATAAATGAATATGAATCATACACCATGTCTGCCTACTGGGGAAAGCTTCTGAAGTTTCATCTTTCTCGTTCCACATTGTCTGTTCCCTTGCCATCATAAACTAAAAAGCATTAACAGCCGTTTATGTTGCGTCCTGGGCACAATTCTGTACAACATTCGTAAGAGCATGTTTTACAACAAAAGCTGGATTGATTTTAGCAGTTTTTACTATAAAATTGTTAGTCAATTTACCGACAGTTACAGTCTGTCCAACCTGAAACGATTCTGACTGTTGCCGCGGGTCCAAAGAAGCACAGGTACAAGACGAGATTTAGTTAATATATGTATATATACTGAATAGACTTCATTATATATACAAATATTTAAAAAATCTCGCTTGTAAAGGCTGTTCAAAGTGCGTCAACTTCGAATTTTTTTCGTCTATAGGTCCGCTTGATTTTCTTCAAAAAGATTCATCATATCGTAATTATCCGGATTCGATGTCATTATATTTTGCGTGCATGTGATCACATTTCGCATATTTGACAGCTAATACGCTACACGGTTGCCGAAAAGCCATGCTTGTTTATTTAAAATCTTGGTCCTTGAAACGCTTTACTTATCAATATTTGTCGTTATTATCAAACGCTTTGAAGATTTATAGTATTCTAAACGAATAACCGGATCCGGACAGACTGACAAATCCGGATTTTGAATTTTTATTTTATTTTTGTCAATAAAATGTTTAGGGTCGGCGTCTGAAACGGAGGTAGGGTCGGGAAACCGGAAACACACCATTTATTTATTTTGGCCTATTGAGTATTTTGTTAAAAAAGGGGGAAGGGTTTTTCACATGTTGCGCCGTATCTCAAAAACAGTTTATGATTATTGCTTAAAACTTTACACACTTCTTAGTTATATTAACCTTAAGATCTGTATACTTTTTGGTGATGATTTAAAATTTAATTTTGAGTTATTGAGTATTTTGTAAAAAAAGGGGAGGGGTTTTTCACATGTCGCGCCGTATGTCAGAAACTATTTATGCTTATTGCATAAAAATTCACACACAAGACGACGGGCGTATCATGCACTCATGGCGCAGCTGTTTATTATGATTATATCATGGACTTTTAACAGTTCTATCAAACACATACTATTAAACAGTAAATTACAGTACCACTGAATCAGTTGTGTAGAAATAATTTTTATTATAAAAATTTCCAAATATATCATGTTGATTATGCTTTTAAGCTGCATAAGGAAATTGTTTAATATGACATCAGACGATCAGCAATGTTTCACCACTGTTTTCTGATTTACTTCTTCAGGAAAAGAGGAAAGAAGGGTGAAAAAGGTGGCAAAGGATTGAGACATTTTTCAATGAAAGTATGTGAAAAAGTTCAAAGAAAGGGTGTTACTACATACAATGAAGTAGCTGATGAACTAGTGGCAGAATTTAGTGATCCTAGAAATCTTACATCACCGTCTGATCAGGTAAAACTTTTAACTATACAATTTAATGTCAGTATGTCGTGGTACATTGAAGATACATAAGCATTAAAGAACTTTTGTATCAGATTGTTATGCATGTCTTTTGATCCAATTTCAAAATTAATCTGATCCAATGATAATCAAATTTTTCAGGAGGACAAGATCTGAAAATAAGTAATCTTTGCTGAAACTGGCAAAAGTGATCAGCAAAATAAGATTACTAAATGGTCAGTGGTTATTGCCCTTAGATACCTATTTTTACCCATTTTTGTGTTTTTTGCAGAAACTATAGTAGATGGAGAGATTCTGTTAATAGCAAAAATTGATCAGCACATAAGTATGACTTAAATCGTCAGTCTACTCATTATAGGAGATATTGCCCTTGAGTGATAATGCATAGACTTAAAACTTGAACAGCAAAAAGATCACCAATACAAGATCTACAAATAAGTTGATATGATTGAAATCTTTAATCTTCTCTTATTTTTCAGGCGTATGATCAGAAAAATATTCGGCGTAGAGTTTACGATGCATTAAATGTGTTAATGGCAATGAATATAATATCCAAAGAGAAAAAGGAGATAAGATGGATAGGATTACCTACAAATTCTGCCCAAGAGTGCCAAAATTTAGAGGTAAAATGTTAATTTTATTTGTGAAATTGGTGGTTTGATTTCGCATTCATTTTAGAGTCTGAAATGAACAATAATAGCTACATACTGTAAATTCAGAAATTATTGCAATGTTTTTATTATCGCGAAAAATGCGACAGGGTTATAATCGCAATAATTTAAACCTCGCATTTTGAAATTTTTTATATGAATTAAACAGGATTTTTCTCAATATCGCAAAAATTAAAATCGCATTTTAGTCTAAAATGGCAAAATCGCAATAATAAATGCACGCAATAATTTCTGAATTTACAGTATTTAAGCTGAAGTACACCTTACAATTTACTTTAATAGAAATTTGATTGATAATTAAAGTATTAATCTTCTGTGAATGAAATGGAGATAGATTATGAAGTTAAATGGTTGAAATGGAGTTTGAGTCCTCAGGCAAGTGTCTGGCAAAAATTGATAATTTTCAATATATCTTTCAAATTAACGAATATTAAATGAAAAGCAGAAAAAAATACTATACTTGGCATTATACTGAATATGATATAAAAGCTTACAAAATTTATAACCCTTTTGAAATTTATGCTGATAGCAATGAAAAAAATGAAGTGGAAGATGAACAATGTTTAATGTACTGAACAATCTGCCAATCCAATCATTGATTAAGGAGGAGATATGGACGCCTGATTCTTTCGGATACCTCCATTATCCCTTCTGAAGTTTTTTTTTGTTTTTTTGTTTTTAAAGTTTTCAACATAATGCAGATGATAAACTATTTTACAAAATATTGTTTGAAGATAGAGATAGTTGTTTAAATTTTTGACTTGATGTATTTAACAGAATGATAAATTTTGATATTTATTTACAGTCAGAAAAACAAAAGAAAATAGAAAGAATCAAACATAAAACTCAGCAATTACAAGAACTTATACTACAGGTAAGGTGTTCTGGTTAATGTTATAGAAACATTTTATATAAACATAAAACTCAGCAATTACAAGAACTTATACTAAAGGTAAGGTGTTTCTGGCTTAAATTATAGAAACATTGAATATAAACATAAAACTCAGCAATTACAAGAACTTATACTACAGGTAAGGTGTTTCTGGCTTAAATTATAGAAACATTAAATATAAACATAAAACTCAGCAATTACAAGAACTTATACTACAGGTAAGGTGTTTCTGGCTTAAATTATAGAAACATTGAATATAAACATAAAACTCAGCAATTACAAGAACTTATACTACAGGTAAGGTATTTCTGGCTTAAATTATAGAAACATTAAATATAAACATAAAACTCAGCAATTACAAGAACTTATACTACAGGTAAGGTGTTTCTGGCTTAAATTATAGAAACATTGAATATAAACATAAAACTCAGCAATTACAAGAACTTATACTACAGGTAAGGTGTTTCTGGTTTAAATTATAGAAACATTAAATATAAACATAAAACTCAGCAATTACAAGAACTTATACTACAGGTATGGTGTTTTCTGGTTTATATTGTAGAAACATTGAATATAAACGTAAAACTCAGCAATTACAAGAACTTATACTAAAGGTAAGGTATTTCTGGTTTATATTGTAGAAACATTGAATATAAACGTAAAACTCAGCAATTACAAGAACTTATACTAAAGGTAAGGTGTTTCTGGTTTATATTGTAGAAACATTGAATATAAACATAAAACTCAGCAATTACAAGAACTTATACTACAGGTAAGGTATTTCTGGTAAATGTTATAGAAATTCAACATGAAATCTTATTGAAGGTATCAACAACAATAAGATAATTTTATTTAATATTGTGTCATAATCAATATCAGTGTAGTTTTTATCAGATTTTTATAAGAAAATATAAACATTAAGTTTTCTTTATTATAAAGTTATGGAAAACACTGATAGACAGTATTGTACAACTCTCGTTGATCTTTTCAATAACGCTTTAGAAAACCATACAAAATCAGAACAAAGTAATCATGTTTTATAACTCAATGTTTAAGAGAAACTACAGATATTATGGCATGTATTGGTTACTGATGATTTGACCATGTAATTTTAGCAAATAGCTTTTAAGAATTTGGTGCAGAGGAACAGAGAAATGGAACAAAGTCAGGGACCTCCAGCAGCAAACTCAGCTATACAACTGCCTTTTATTATTGTTAATACCAGCAAGAAAACTGTTATTGATTGTTCTATATCAAATGACAAGTAAGTCAAGTTCATATTCTCTTCATAGTTGATATTGATTAAATTGTAGGGTCCATATAGATACCAGTACCATGATATATATGTATATAAAATAGTCATTGGTTTACTTCTGTATAAAATCCCCTCTCTATCACATTTCTCATATTATATATTTGATATCAGTCGAACCATCATCTACAGCCCAAGAATTGGATGTCTCATATAAAACATTGGATGTCCATATTAGTTGACTGTTAACCACTGTATTACATCCTCGGTAATGAACTCATATTTCTCATGTCATCACACATTAAATGATCATATCATCCTACTCGGTTACTCCGTCAATTCTAGTGTCACAGAAGTTATTATTTTTTGTCAAAAGTAAAACTGTCTTTTAAGGAAGGGGAAAATGACCAGAAATAACATGATAAACAGATGGTTAGCTAGTGATGACAAAAAAAGCAGTCATTGTAATATTTTTTGAATACTTGGTCATGACAGTAAAGCTATATACACATTTATGTCTTCAAAGATATTTTTTCTGATGGACAAACCCAAACATTTCATATTAAATATCTCTTAAGCCTTTAAGTCTGTTAATCTGTTCCTCAGTAACCATCACTAGTTTTTTTTATATTTCTGAAGTTACTTCTTGCTATAGATATGATTGTACATTTTAAGAATAGAAAGATGAATATTTACTTTTGCATGAACCTGAAGTTTTATTCCATTTCTTTTCAGATATGAATATTTATTTAACTTTGACAATACTTTTGAAATACATGATGACATAGAAGTTTTAAAAAGAATGGGTATGGCTTTAGGATTAGAGAAAGGCCAGTGTTCACAACAAGATTTAACTAAAGCTATCAAAATGATTCCAAAGTCTTTATCACCATATGTGTTAGGTAAGTCTTGTTACAGGATAGATGTTAAAAAGGTCAATAGTTAAATCATATTTTTTACAAGCACCTTTCATTCCTAATTCAAAGACTGCCACGAGAGCCTGAAATTATGAATAGACACTGGGAAATGATGAATGAGACAGCAATCATAAAAAAAGTCTTAGATAAACAAGCACTATATTGCCTGGAATCAAGATTATGAATTTTAATGTCTGATGGAAGGACCTTCTATTGAATATTCTTCAATAAGCACCGCTGATGTTGACCTGATAAATATGACATAAACCTAATCAGTTACTATATACTCATTGTTTTTCATATGCTTAATGATCATCATAGGGACTATTTAATTCTTATTTACAGATTTAGCCAATAGTGGAATGGCAAATGCAGGTCAGAGTGGCATTAGACCAATGTCTACTGGACTGTCACCGGTACCACATAGTTCTAGGTAAAAGAATACTTATTAGATTAGTGTAGCCCAGTGGTGAAAGCATATGCTAATGTTTCAATTGTTAAGATAAACACCTTAATATGGGAGGTTGTGAGTTTTATTCTACAGCTGGTTTTAAACCAAATACTAAAATTTTGATATTTGTAGGTTCTCCATTAAGCATACCGCATTTAAGAGTAAGAGCAAAGACTGGTCAGCTCAGAGTCAAATAATGTGTCTTGGTAGGGTGACATGTCTTCCTGCGAACTTTTACTTTGTGAACTAGGATGTATAATATATCCATCTCAGCTACAAAGCAGGGTTTATTTATTTGTGTCAAATTTTTAATATATTCTTGTCCTAATATGCATGTAATAGTTGCCACTGGATAATAAACTACATTCCGACATCATCATCGTCACTAATGCTTAGTGGAATAATGTATCAAACAGTGGGAAATCTAGTGAACGAAAAAAATAGAAAATTCACTTTTTGTATGAAAAAGGCAAAAATCAATGATAAAACGATGCCAGTGACAATACTGATCAAAAGTTTTTAACAATCGTACATTTTAAAGAAATTATTTGTTCAACTGTGTTAGTAGAAATATACATGCAAATACATGATGTTTTACGTTCTGTATTTATCATGATAATTGCATTAGAAGCTTGTGAAACTGAAATGTAAAAAATGTTAATGTTTGCTGCATAATGATAAACAAAATTGGAAAAAGTCATGTACATACAAATTCTAGAAAGATCTTTCAGGTTACCAATTTTCGGAGTGTTGCTCAAAGTCCTTAGCAAGTTACATATAGCCAAAATATACCTATTTTTCACATCTAAATTTTAGAGTCTGTTCTTGTCACATGAACATTCAATATAAAAATATTGTCTTCGTGAATATTACAATTTAAAAAGTGTGTCTGTGCAGGTTCAAAAATTAAAGATAAATATTTGTATAAAGTAGGTCTGTCAAAAGATTTTTTTTAATATTTGTTTATACAATTTTAAGAAAAGGTTGTCACAATTTTGTACATGTATTTGCAGTCTTCTTGATCTATTCACATTCAATGTTTACATCTGGATAAGATCTGTTTGAATTTGCATAGTAACTTAATTTCAAAAGTGTTAATCTTTGCTGCATATCAATCGATTCCTTTGGAATTTTTTCACTGAACTTCTCTAATCTAGCTGCATTCATATAGGGATAATTGGCATGTTCCAGAGAGGTATACAGCCAGTAAAAAAATAAATTGTAGTTGGTACTGCAGGAATGTATTCGCATAGCCACATTATAAACCAATTTTACACCAACCTCCTGCTGTACTCGTCGTTTGAAATTTATACAGGAAAATGATAACATTAAATGGAATTTTTTTTTTATTTCAACTTATTTTTTTGTTTTTTCTATTTACCAGAGAGTTTTCTCTTGCTAAAACGGGACAAAATTTAAAAAGATTAAGTTTTCAGTGTTTACAGGGGAGGTTATATTTTGTCACTAGATTTCCCACTGTCAGAGTGGATAAATACACAGACAAGCTTTTCATTTTATGGCTCTTAAAAAAAAATTGTCACTACTTTTCAATCATCTACTTGACATGTAGAGACTGGGACTATTTTATGTAAATAAAATTCAAAAAGTAGTGAAATGTATCAATAATTGTATAGATAATTTAATTTGTTGGAAACATATATATTATTGTATATTATTTAAAGATTGAACAATAGGTAAGAGAAATTTTGAATAAAAATTAACTTTCATTTAGATCAAAACCAGTTGCTTTAACTCATCATAGCACAGACACATCGGACATGGAGGTGGCAATGGCATGCCAAGGGATATCACAAGATTCTTCCAGTGTAGGATCCCATGTTCCATCGAGAGCAGCAACAGAAACACCATCGGAATTCTCTGAAGAGGAAGAAGATGACGACAGATCAAGTCCACTAGACATGAGCTAGAGCTGGACTATTTCTTTTTTGAATCAGGGATACAGATAGGACTGTGTAGTAAAATGTGATTGTCAGGCCCAAATTGTTGTTATGATCTGATTATGTAATGATTTTTAACAGTATTGGTCACATGTGAACAAGTTCAATGTTTACTATCTTTGTTATGGTCCATTAATAAAAAGGAAGAACTTTATATAAGATTTGGACTAGTGAAATGGTTTATTGTCAAGTGGAATTTTCGAAAGAGATTTTATTTTGCTAATTAGGCAATTAAAATAAAGTTGTGAAAGTATTCAGATAAATTTAGCTTTTACTGAAAATCATAGGGGCAAGAAAAACATGAAAATAAAATCTCACAATCAGGAAAGGCCCTTGAAATTGTGAAATTAAGCTCTTTGATAATACCTCACTTTACAGTACTAGTACTACATACATGATAACTGATTTACTTATGAGATCGGAACGTTTTGTGGTTTCTATAGCAGAGAAAGTGTAGTATCACCATACTGTTACTGCATATGTTTACATTGACCAGTATGTACCGTATCAGGTCAGATTGACAAGTTTTATTATGGTATAACATAACAAAGTGACTATGGCCTATTAAGTGTGGTACAGAAGATGAAGGCATACTTTATTGGAATGTGTGATGTATATGAGCAGTCAGTTGGATATAGTTGTCAGTGTTAGTTTTCACTTCATAAACACTTTCTACCTATTTATGTAATACTTATTTCATAATAAATTTGACATCTGCTCACCAAGGTTTGTAGGTTACAAAGTAAAGACAAATCTCTCTGTAGTTTTACTTGTTGTTTATGGAAGGAAAATCAATATACATCATGTGATGAGGCCTACGTTTCTTTAAAGCCTTCTAGATTTTGATACTTGTGTTTTACATGTTGGCAAATTGATATCTTTGGTTTCATAATGCATTTTGTTTTTGGTTGATTGACATGTTTTCCTCTAAATTTTGAAATGCAAAAATTAGTTAGATTAGATGATAAGAATTTATATTATTCTTAAATTTTATGAACTGAAAATATGTTTACGGAATGCATGACCTGACAGCTGTATTGAAATGATTGCTGGATGAACTGTGTGTATATTATGTGAACACATTGTGATAATTTTATGTTATTTATGCAGAATTCACCATGTCCAGTAACTCAGGACACATGAAGAGAATATGTTCACAGCATAGAAATATTTGTTATTTCTAGTGATTTGTTACATTTTAGTAATAGTTGACTGAAAAATAAGAAGTTATATGTACAAATGATTTTCCGTTATTTTTGTATCAAAAATTTGTATGATCATGTTAGGAAGTTTTGCAGAGAAACAATTTGAACAACAAAACTATTAAACCAGATCAAATCGGCAATAAGCATTCAATTTTTTTCCAGTACATTACTTATTTCCATCATTAGTTTGACATTTAAATTGCTGAAAAAGCAATTATTAGTATTATGTGGTTTGTTTTAGCAAATACATTAGTAACCAAGGTAACCCAACAGGTCTGTGGTCCTGTAGTTCTGCATCATAACTTTTTCTCTGTGACATAATGTCCTGACCTGTAAAATTGTTATAAAAGATAAAAATGATTACCAAAACCTTAATGTATCTGACCGTATATTCTTTTTTTACAAATGAAGTTTTTGATACATTATCAGACTGAGATTTTGAGATAACATCCTCCTTGCTTTGGCATACTTATACCCAAAAATATATTACAAGTATTGAAATTTAAACTTGTATGCCTAATTTAAAAGAGCATGGTAGAATGAGCTGTTTTAAAATTATTGAATAAATATTATATCTATATCTATAATGATAAATCTACTTGTCATTCTGCAATTAAGCCTTTTATATTTAAAACTATTCTAATAGATAGGGAACATGTTTAAATTGAATCATAGGGTTGCTAACTGTTGTTCACCAATTGTGTTCCATGGTGTAATGTGTCTTTTCTGCTGAATGTTAACAGAGCAATTATTTTTTAGTATTGTTGATAGAAAATATTGTCTCAAATTGATACTGTTATATCGTATATATTGTCATATTAGAAGAAGTTTTATTATTTAAAATAATAATTTATAGTTGAAAGTAATCATTAATTGAGGTTAGGTTTTCAAGAAAAATGATAATGTATAAAGCTTTATTATAACATATTTCATCCATATGTATGATAACTGTTCTAATTAGAAATTCCACAATGTTTTAGGACCAAATTTGAATAATTGTATGTGTTTTATAGCAATTGAAAATCTTTTTATGATAATGTTTGAATTGAATTACTGATGAAAAGTATTTGTTATGAAAATATTTCTTTATAAAGTTGAATGAATATTAAGGTCAGTCTTGATCAGCAACTTTTAATATAATGAAGGCATGTCTCATTATTATGTAAACGGCAATAAATCAAACAAAAATTTAATTTTGTGAAGCAGTATTAAGATTCAGTACACCCAAAGTCATTATTTTGAGTAAAAAGCTGTTTGTACTAATTTTCTTTGGATAAGGTTTTTAGGCAATAGTATTAAATAAGAGTTAAAACTTAAAAACCAATTGCAACACATGCTATCTATTGTCAAGACATGCTACTTGCAGTTTTGGCCTATTAATATTTATATTTTGTATAAGGCAAGAGTTTTTTTTTTAATTTGTTGGTTTACAGATCTGCCGACCCTATTTTTCCAATTTTTCAGAAGAAAAAATGAAATTGACATTTCATGCTTTTTTCTGACCTTAACAAATACATTATCCCTGAAATTTAAATAAAAATATTTGCGTAGCAACTTGTCCTGAAATTAATTACATTGTTTTAGCATGGTAAAGACATTAACAGGAATAATTCTAAAAGAATAAAAATCTAAAAAAAATCCATAGTGTTTATGTTCCTAAAAGTAGAATATCAAAACTGACCTTGAAATGCAAATAATTTTGTGGAACGAAACCTATGTTAAAAGTCCATTACAATAAGTTAGTTTTTATTTTTTGTTCATAATTCCATAAGATCAAAACCATAAATGAAATGGATCAGTGAAAGAATTCAAGTTAAAACTAACAGATATCCATAAACAATTTGGAATGTTCTTGTTTCATATATTGAAATTGTTTATTTGGCCATTTGGATATCAAAAGCGGGATTGCCGACAAATGATGAAACAGATATCATAATTTTTCTGTTGGACAGGTCTTCTTCATTTATGACACGTTTCGTGCGACGCGTTTGCAATTTTTATTTCACATGTTTTCCTGCTTGAAGCTCATTATTCACTATGTTTCCAGAAATTTGATAAAAAGCAATGAGTAGCTGTATTTTTCGTTTGTGAAATGACCATTTATTTCCTGTTTGTCCGTAGACATACCCCCTTTTTACAAACTTATATCACAATGGCATGCATTGTACATTTAAAACAGTTACACAATAATATTTTGAACTAAAATCAAGAAAATGCATACCAAATCAATGTTAGTAAGATGAAATAGATATATAATCTATACATATTTCTGTCTTATAAGATAATTTTTTTATCTTTTTTTTTTTTTACCAACCGACCTGACGTTTTCACTTAAAAAATCTGTAAACCAACAAATTAAAAAACCCTGGCCTAAGGGATATGATCCAAGTGAAATGATAAGATGTTAAAAAATTTAAAAAGCCTTGGAAAAATCATATATAATGAAAATTCATTTATATACTTGACAGTTGTTTCTTGTTTACTGTTGCTTGAATAAAAAAGGGGGGGAAATAAAGCTATATGATGCATGAAATATTAGGAATCTTAAATAGAAATAAAAACATTGTTTTTTGCACCCATTTTAAAAGAGTTTAAAGTTATCATACCAGCAACACATTAATTCAATGCATTTGCAAACATGAAACAACAGTTTACTTTAACTCAAGTTTGTGTATAAATGAAATATTTGAAATCTACAATAAAAAAAAAACCACCATTTTTGACAACATAAGTTACCTCTCTTGTGTTCACAAAACAATTCTGAAAATAGTCCTAATTTTCAGTTTCAAAAGTTTTACCAAAGATTCAATGTTTAATCAATTCAAATACTTTAATGTACTGAATCAACACAACTTTTTTAATATCTTTAACATTAAATACTATGATAATGTTGGATCATGTTCTTACTTGGTACATTCAAACAGGATAATCCATCATTGTTTATTTATAAGTTCTCCTCAGGTGAGGTGTAGAATGATTGTGTTCAGTATGATTGTACATTACTTTGTACATTACTTTGTACATTATTGTACAGTTTTATCATGGTGATATATCCATAATGATGTTGTTTTAGTTTAGTTATTATGTAACCATTTTGTGATAAATCTTTGGTATTTAGACATTCTTGATCTACTCCTTATTATATGCTATGTCATTGCAGTGTTGGTGACAAGCTCTTAATTTCAAACTTAAAAATTTCCACTGTTTAAAAATGCTGTGTTTATTAATGCAGTGATTAGTTGAAAATTGCAACTTACTAAATCCCCAAAATTTGTTTGTGATAGAAAATAATGAAAACAGAACAGATTATTAAAATATTCATTCATTTCATTTGTGACTCCATAAGTTTGTGCAGTTTTCATCATAATATATACATGTACTAATCAATATGTACATATGCAGTCATGAACAGATTTAAAAGAAGACTAAATAATTTAACACTTTGATGACAAATGTTCATTTTCCTTTTTCAGTTTTATAGGAATATTTAAAAGAAATATTTTTTTTTATTAATTTGAAAATATAACTGTCTGAAGCAAAGGCTTGTATTATTTTAAGTTTGCATTAATATAAGAAGAGATCATGTTGAAAGTATCTAATGAAATTTGTTATGTATGTCTTTTATAATTGTTAGAAAGTTTTATCTTTGTGTCGAAGGTTAATTTATTAGCAACAGTATCATTGGAGATTTTTCTTATACAACAAGCAATAAGAAGTATGCCATATCATGTGTCATCTGTTGATTTCATTTCATCAACAATCTAAAAAAAGAAGTTTGAAACACATAATGAATAAAGATTATGATTTAGTATTGCGTTCATTATCACTGAACTAGTATATATATTTGTTTAGGGGCCAGCTGAAGGACGCCTCCGGGTGCGGGAATTTCTCGCTGCATTGAAGACCTGTTGGTGACCTTCTGCTGTTGTCTGTTCTATGGTCGGGTTGTTGTCTCTTTGACACATTCCCCATTTCCATTCTCAATTTTATGATTATTAGTTTATATATCTTACATTTAAGCCTTTATACTAAAGTAGCAGTGGCAAGACATACCGGGGAAAGTGTGCTGTTTCCATCGACAGCCACAGTGTCAACTATTTGTTAAAGTTTGTAATAAGGTCAGTTTAAACCACATATGGTACCTGGTAAGTGTGCTGTTTCCATCAACAGCCACAGTGTCAACTATTTGTTAAAGTTTGTAATAAGATCAGTTTAAACCACATATGGTACCTGGTAAGTGAATGATATTTGGTACACAGTTGTATTATTATTGTCACATCTCATTTTCCATGGAGATCATGTTTTTCCCATTCCACGTAGTCATGGTTTATTGACGAAAACATTAGTTTAGTTTAGATGTTTGTGGTCAGGTAAATTTAAGGGGAACCACTAAGGGTAAGTCAATGATATTTGGTTTTCAGTTGTATTAGCATTAGCACATCTTGTAAGCATAGAGATGATCTGACCATGTCCCCTCGGTTCATTGGCTTTGGAACTTTTGGATGATTTACATGTTAAAAGTTTGTGATTAGGTTTATAGTTAAATGGTTACCACTTTTGATTAGTCCAATTAAATTTGGTATGCAGTTGTATAAGCATTGGCATTTCTAAAATGGTTGATTTAGTTTTAAGCTGTCAGACATAGCAGCACTTCAACAAATTTTTCTAAGCTAATGTATAGAAATTCATATTTAGATGTGAAAAGAGTCTATGAACTGATGTACTGACATAGATGTTTAAAGAAGAGCTGTACTCGATACCATATGTCTTTGCTCCTGTAATATTTTCATGCAACACTGACATAACTTGTACTCCAGATCTTGGTTGTTTCAGATTATTTAAAATGCCCTGAAAAAAAAAATGATCTGAAGAGAAGATGTGCATTCATAAGAAAAATTGTATATAGGAAGAAAAAAAAAGTTGTTCTTTTAATATTCATCTTTGAAGTTCAGTGGACTGAGAATCTACTTGAGTGTTCATCTACATTACTGGGTGCAATATGTTTAGAAACCTGGTAGTTTATTAATGGATTGTTATAAAGAACATTCAAAAATATTTTGTACCTAGGTACATTTTGAGGGCACATTTCATACAGCAGCTTAAATTTAAAATTTAATGGTGGGAGGTTTCATACCTTAAATTAAATAATGTGTTCTGTGAGGAAGTTTGCAAAAGAATAAGAAAGGATTGTTACCAATGACAGCTTGGGTGTCAAGTCAATTTTAATAATCCTCAGTCTGCTTTTCTGCCATGCATGCATAAAAATACACCCCACTTGCAATGGATTAAAGTATGGCTGGATCCAGCCATTTGGAAAAATGCTTATATTTGTCCAAAGCATGAAAATTAACTAAGCTACAATGGATTTTACTTCTAAAAAAAAAGTGCAACACTGAAAAGTTGGTTTGCTTTCCTGATTTAAAACAATCATTCAGTACACTAAATATAGTGAACTTATAGCTTATAGTATCTGAGAAACCAACCTAAAAATAAAAACTTAACATTGACCATTGAACCATGAAAATGATGTCAATGTCTGATGAAACCTGCCAGACAGACAATTACACCTTGCAATCATTGCATTCACTAAATATAGTTTACCTATTGCCAATAATATTTGATAAAGGACCTACATGTTTATAACATAACTAAACATTGACCAATGAACCTTGAAAATGAGGTCATGGTAAAATGAATCCTGACCGCAGACATGTATACCTTATTCCATTCACCAAATATAGTTAACCAATTGTTAATTGTATCTGAGATATGGACAACAAAGAAAACTTGATCTTGATTATTAATTCATGAGAAGAGGCCAAGGTCAGGTGAACCCTGTCTGACAGACAGGTAGACCTAGCAAAGATCCCATTTACCAAATATAGCTCTTAATAAATGAGAAATTCAATTGACCAAAAAATTTGTTTCTTTCTGCATTTGCTGAATTATGATAAATGAAAAAGAGATGGACAATATGAATATGAACAAAGGCCACTTCAGAACATAAAGGCATCATTCTGTATACAAGGATTGCATCATCCAGGTCTTCTACCTTCTTAAATAGAAAGCTTTATACAAATAATTGATGCTGTCGTCACAGGATGAGCATCCCTAATTCTCAATTAGGGGAATACAAGAATACTGACATGCCACTCCAGGGCATTGCTTTACAATTTTGTGTGAGAGACAAAACAAATGGTAATACATTTTGAAAATGTGAGCAGACAATAATTTGATGACATCAGGAATCATGATTTCAAATATCTTTGAAATCTCAACACATTGTATGTTTACATATTTTGGTGAACATTTTGAAAATGGCTACCTATGAATTGATTTTGACACCACAAATTAATTCGGGATATTATGGTCTATGTAGATATCGAATTTCCAGAAAATACTAGTTAATGCTCCTTTCCATATCTGGTTCAAGTTTTGGAGTTGGGTAGGTTGAAGTTTGGTTTAAAATATTTTTGTTGTCGTATCAATATGAAACTTGATACACATGTACATTATGAAGTGAACTATTCAAAACATATTCCAAGTTATGATGTTGACCCAGATTTCACGGTTTATTGAACATGGAAATATAATGGATTAAAAATTTTGGTTTAATATAAGAATAAGAAAATGTGGTATAATTGCCTATGAGACAACTATCCACCAGAGTTCAAATGAAGTGGATGTAAGCAATTAAAGGCAACCATTAGAAAAACCCATACCATATAGTCGGCTATAAAAGGCCCAACCTGAAAAATATGAAAAAATTCATGGCCTAATTTATAACAAAACAATTTACTAAAAACAAATATGATGGACATGAACCGATGACACCCACTTAACTACAGGCTCCTGACTTGAGACACTGAACATAGAATGGGAAAATTGCAAACCACAAATGGTGTCCTATGGACATATTTTTTTGTTTAATCCATTTTGGTGGCATTTCGAAATGGATGTTGACGGATAATTTTAATGGCCCCATAAAAAAATTTACGTAGCATAGTCCTTGCTTTGTCCATTATCCTGACGAAGTCTTGAGTTTCCCTTGCTTTTTCGAATTGAGACTGACAATTGAAATATGGGGTCACAGGTAAAAGTTCAAAACCATAATAAAATTTGGTTTCCACTTTCCAGGTATAAATTGAGCTTATTTTGTTGGATTATATAAAACTGAAATAAATGGAAGAATTAACGAAAAATACCCATTTCAAGGTTTGGGTCAAAATCACAAATGCTAGAAGATCAAGGTCATAGTTACACAAAATTTAAATGTTCACATCATCAAAATCTCGGGTTTCTAAATGGGATATGGCTTTTAGCTTATTCTTATTGAGCAAGTGCCTCCAAATCGGATGGTTAAACCCGCATCACAGGAGCCACTGGCTAAAAAACCAAGGGCCCTGAAAGAGTTTCCTCTTTATCCAGGGTTAGGAGGATCCAAGTTTGTTTCAAGATGAAATCTCTTGAAATTTAACTTTCAAAAAATTTTGAGCATCATTATTGGTATTTGACCTCCCAAACCTGCCTGGTTAGCCAGTGCCGCGGGAACCCCTGAAAAGTTTTTTTTTAAGGTTGATAACATCTATTCAAATGTCTTTTTATGCCCCCGCCGTAGCGGAGGGGGCATTAAGTTTTACCCTTGTCCGTCTGTACGTACGTTCGTACGTCCGTCCGTACGTCCCGAAATTGGTTTCCGTTCTCTAACTTCAGTTTGCCTCAACCAAATGTTATGAAACTTATACACAATGCTTATTACCACAAAACACAGATCAAGTTTGAATTCTGGTGGCGTCACTTTAACCGATCTAGAGTTATGCCCCTTTATAAAAGGAAATATTGCAAAATTTTTAGTTTCCGTTCTCTAACTTAAGTTTGCCTCAACCAAATGTTATGAAACTTATACACGATGCTTATTACCACAAAACATAGATCAAGTTTGAATTTTGGTGGTGTCACTTTAACCGATCTAGAGTTATGCCCCTTTATAAAAGGAAAAATTGCAAAATTTTTATTTTCTTCTAAATATCAAGTTTATATAATATATTTTTAAAATTGGAGTTATCTTCCTTTGACCATGATTATAGTTGAATCAACTACAATCATTGCTTTATACAATGCAATGTTTAATTTTGACTTCCACTAATAAAACACAGATCAAGTTGAATTTGGGTAGTGTCACTTTAACCATTATTGAGTTATGCCCCTTTATAAATAGAAGATTGCAAAATTTTTTAGTTTCCATTCTGTAACTGAAGTTTTCCCCAGCCAAACATTATGAAACCTATACACAATATTCATTACCACAAAACTCAGTAAGGATCAAGTACAATTTTTTTGTTTCAGTTCTCTAACTTGAGTTTGCCTCAACCAAATGTTATGAAACTTATACACAATGCTTATTACTACATAATACAGATTAAGTACGAAATTAGGTGGCAACACTTTTACCATTCTAGAGTTATGTCCCTTTATAAACATAAAAATTGCTGAATTTTTTAGTTTGTCTCAACCAAATGTTGTAAAACTTATACACAACCGTTCTAGAGTTATGCGTGTTTACAAATAGAAAAATTGCTGAATTTTTAGTTTCTGTTCTCTACTTAAGTTAGCCTCAACCAAATGTTATGAGACTTACACACAATGCTTATTACCACAAAACTCAGATCAAGTTCAATTTTGGGTAGCGTCACTTTTACCGTTCTTTAGTTATGTCCCTTTATAACTATATGATATGCAAGCGGGGGCATCATCTGTGTCCACATGTGGACACTATCCACATTTATTTCTACAAACATTTATCAATATTAATATTAGGCATGTGACCTCATCCACAAATTATGGGAAGCAGTTTTACTTGAAACTGGGAATCAATATTGAAAATCACATTATACCTATGAAGCTTTGTTGAAATCCTAGCACAAAAAGATTTCTCAAAATTGGTGATTTTTGTCTCGCTTTACAAGGAAGACAATGTGTCATTGATTTGTATAAAGCTTTATATGACAAAAGATAAAAGACCTATCTGCTGTATACCTTGCATACAAATGCCTTACTTGCATATGTCCATTGTCATTGACATCATTTTCATGGTTCTGTGACAGCTTAAATAACTATAGTTGGTTTATGATAAACTGTTTATCACATAATTTCTTGCTCATTATGATTAATAGGATGACTATATTTGGTATTTGGGATTTTTGCAAGGCCTTACCACTAGAAACGGTTCATCTGACCTTGACCTCGTTTCAATGGTTTATTGGTTAATGTTAAGTTTTTGTGTCAACTATATTTTGTTTATGGAATGATTGCAAGTGTATACATCTTGCTGAAAGGGTTCATCTGACCTTGGCCTCATTTTCATGGTTCAGTGTTCAATGTTAATTTTTCAAGGGAAATCAGATGGAATAACTGGTGTCGTTTGACTGGCAGGGTTCATCTGACATGGACCCCATTATCATAGTTCATTGGCAATGTTTTGCAGTTAGTTCTGTTTCTCAGATAGGTCAACATGAGTGGAATGATTCTAAGGAGCACAAATTGGTCTGTCATGGTTCATCTGACCTTTTATCTTAAGGAATTTCAATAGAAATCTAATCATGATCAATAAAGCAGGTTTGGCATTTCAGTGTGTTCATTATTGTTAAAAAAAACTTGACCACTAGTCACTACATTTTCAAAATGCTCACAAAAATCTTTATCTACCTACCTCTTTGTATGTAATGTTATAGGTTTGGTTCTTTGAAACAACTCTCACCTTTCTGGTTCCCAGAAAATTAATATGGTTATCCTGCAGATGCTTCTAACATTGAAATAACACTTCTTGATTAGTTCAAACGTATGAAATTCTTGGTTCAATGACTTTATATCAGACAAATTTCTGTCATTAGCAGGTCAGCCTCCTATAAACAAACAACCTACTTTGTGAAAGTGAAGCTCAGTTTGAAAAAAATTAGATTATCAAGAACTAAGGTTCAAAGTTCCTCTGGCAAAGTAAACCTAACATGGATTTGGTCAATGTTTTAGGTCACTTTTAGTATTGTAGCTCCAAGGTATTCAAGTTTTTGCTCATCATTGGTATACAACTTCTTTGGCATGAGGCTCCTTGATGAAGGAAAACCCAGGAAAGTGCTTAAGACCACAAAGTTAATAAAACTTGATCACAATAAGTGAAAACATAACCAAAATTATTTTTTGAAATTTGTGCCAATAATACAAAGCAGATAAAAATATTACATTTTAATTTTCTTACTTCATACACACAATAAATATATTCATCATAAAAAATTAATAATATACTTAAATACAATTCAGTTCAAATACTACAAATGTCATTGTAAAGAGTCTCCTTAGGAAAATAAGTTATATTGTCTTGGGGAAACTGGAAATATGTTGGATGACAGTAATGAGGCATTATCCAACTCAACTTGATCAGAACTTTGTTATTCTCTGCTGATGAACAATCTGCAAAAGTTTGTTTTTCAAATAATGAGTTATTTCTGTAAATTCTACATCCAACAGATCAAGATTTATACAGGTGAAGCTTCTTGTACATTAAAGACAATACTGTTACAGTGATATCTACATCTTATTTTCCTATTCTTTGGACTTCCCAGTCTTGCTGACAAAGAGGACATCTTTTGTTCTGTTGTACCCACAATGTCATACAGCATAGATGAAAGGAATGATTACATTCTCCCCATACAACTGGCAAAAATACAGAAAAGAATGACAAAATCAGATAACAGATAATAATCAATTTGTATTAAGTAATAGTTGTCACTTTGATCAGGTTAAGTTTTTAATATTTCAAGTTTAGTTGAAGAAAGTTTTAAAAGATTTTCTGATTTTTTAGAATTCATTTCTTTTTTTTCAGTAACATAGGTGCATTTAGACACGTGTCACTTGTTGCCCATTGGGCCAGGTGAGCTAATGATCGAACAATTCCTAGAAAAGCCAACTCGTAAAAGACAATAACGAAAGCCCACTTCGAAAATTTGCAAACCATGAAAAGTTTCTGTTCCTGAAAGGATTCGTTAGGGAACAACCATTTAACTTCAAGGGGGGGGGGGGGGGGGGGTATGTTTTGTTGTCTGAGTCAGAAAAAAATTTTGTGCGCAAAGCACAAACATTTTTTTTTTTCGATGCTATCAATTAAATTATTTTTTTCAAAATTTAACACTATAAGGTATGGGGAAAATCTGGATTCAGAATATTTTTTTTTGTCATCTGCTTGACCACAATATTTTTTTTCATCAAATTGGGGATCAGAATATTATTTAAGGAAAAAAAATATAACCCACCCCCCTTGAAGTTAAATGGTTGTTCCCTTAGGAATTCCGACCATATATACACAATTTTAAAGTGATGTGATTGTAAATTGTTAAGCATGTCATTAATTCAGTTTTCTACATCAATATAAGGGATCATAGATTTATTCTTACAAGCAAGCTCCGAGCATGCTCGGAGGATGCTCGGAGCTTTTTAAGTAGGCTCTTCTCAGCAGTTAATGTGACAATAATTATCATGATCCATTAAGATGTCAATCAAATCTACACCACTTCTATGATAAGGAAAGTAGAGCATTATAGAGGAAGCTCCATAAACACCTGTGTAAACATCTGGTCTATTCAAATACATTTTGCATGAAATTTTACAAAACTATAAAATAGATTAGAAATTTTTCAACAGTGCTGTGTAATGTTTGGAAAGAAATCTCAAATCTCCAAAAAAAAGTAAAAGTCATTTAAATATTTTCTTATTATATTTAATGATCATTCCTTTTTTTATAATAAAAAATTCTCAATTTTTATAATTAGATGATATGTTTTAAAAATAGTTCATATTATATAATATGCTACATAAAAGTTATCAAGACACAAACAACAGTCAGGTGGCAATACTAAACAAGAAATTTTGTTTAGTCACTTTTATTTTTTGTTTTTAAAAATTATTTAATAACTCAATAGTTATTTTAAATGTCAATTAAAGCATGGACTAAATGTAGTTTTTAAGAATTTTTATATCATTTCATTAAATAAAATTAAGTTTTTATCCAATTTTAGATGAGTATAGAGAGGTTACTTTAAAAAATAATGACAAAAATATTACTTTAATAAATTGTTTTATACAACTTCAAAAAACTTAGTACTTACAATTATTTAAGGAATATATGCAATTGCTTTTGATTAAGATTTAAATTATAAATAACTTCAAGTCTTAATTAAAGGTTTCATATCTAGTTATAAAATTAACTGTCTATCTCTAAGATTTTAAGGGGAAGTGATATTTTAATAGCCCCAAGAGGCCAATCTTTGACCAAGAAGTGTGGCATCAGAAAAGCAATTAGTGCTTGTTGAGGATTTTAAATAGTTTTACCAGTATATTTCATGGGGAATAACCAGATGTCTGTGAAAATTTGTTAAAGCTAGTAAAACCTGTATGAATGGACACCTATAAAAATAATATAAACAGAAGTTACTTATTCATGATATAGAAGTAATATTTGAAACAGCCTCTTTTTCAACATAACTTGTATAGGGGCAAAGTCAAAATAAATGGTTCCTTGCATATAAAGCAATATTTATCAAACATGCTGATCATTTGATTGAATAAATTAATTTCAAATGATGTGGCTTGATGTGAAGAATATTCCTGCAAAACATCTTTGGAAAATCTAAAGTATTAAAAAAATGACGTTAAAAAAAGATGCCAAAATTGTCAGGAGTGCAACACTTTTTTGTGACATTTTGAAAAAATACTTTTTTATTAAGACACAGCAAATTGTTGTAAGGAGGAATGTGCCTTAAATTCTTATTTATATTGCAAATATTATATCTTAGTGATGGTTTCAGCTCAAAATGAAGGTTTTCCATTGAACCGTTTTGATACAGATGTGTTTTGAAAAAAAGTTGTGCCATGTCAGGAGTGCAACACAAAAATTAGTATTACTGAGGAATAGAATGATTTTTGCTTAAATGACTCAAACCTAAACATAAACAAAAGTCAATCCTGTAAAACAAATATGTCCTTTCCAGAATAAATAGTTCATTTACCTGATTATTGATATAAATAAGGTGTGAGAGTCAAGTATATAAGGCCTCCCAATAAGTGTCAGGAGTGCAACTTTGAAGTTTAAAGACTCACACTGAAAAAATACAAAAGCCATTATATGGTTCTGTTTTATTTTTCAAAAGATACTATACTAGATACAAGATTGCACCCAAAGAGTAGCCTGATAGACAAGGAATTTTTCTTTTAGAACCATTTTTTTGATGTCAGGAGTGCAACAGTTTTAAAATGACATTTTCTTGGACTTACATTTTAAGATAATCTCAGCTCCTAGTGACTTATTTGCATCTAAACATGTTTTCTAACTATTTAGGTTACATGTATGAGTTATAATAAATTCTTAAAGGTAAATTTCAAAGCAGGACTTTGATCCAAGAATTATTGTTTGTCACAAGCAAAAATATTTGAATGTTAAATTTTCATATTATTTTCAAATTATGGAAGCTAATTGTCTTAAACTTTGTCTTTTGATAAGGAAATAACCATATTTCAATTTAAAAGTTTTATAATGGTTTCATGTAATACTAATTAAATTATTATAATTGTTATAACAAACAATTAATTTTGTTGCACTCCTGACATGAATTATCCATAACAAGCCGTTTTGCACATTTTGAGTTCATATTTAAGACCCAACCTTTGAATGAATGAAAGATGGGAAAGATGGTTGTGAAACTATAATTTAGAATAAAATCAGACAGGCTAAGTGCATACAAACACACCATCATTGTCAACAACTTTAACTTTGAGGAGTAGAAAATTGAGAAAACCACTGAAATAAGATCCAAATCTGAAGGACAAACTAGACAAATATAAACAAAGAAAGAACAAAGAAAACAAAACAATGTAAAACTAAATTCAAAAGACTTAGACCAGAATTAAAACACATATGAGAAAATGAAAACAAAACAGAGAAAGTGGCAACAGAAGAGAAGAAGAAAATTGACACAAGCTAAAAAAAGTTGCAAACCAGCAGAAAATTGTCCAGTCAAGTAGCAAAAGTACAGATGCATATACAATACCTAGAGAAATCAGAAAGAGAAGTCAAAGAATAAGACATTATCTTCCTGATCATCCCAAATCTTGGGCTTAAACAATTGAGCACATCATATCCTCAGCTACACCAAGGTGGTTGTCAGAGGATATGAGAACTGATATCAGCTGTGTGCAAGAAATTGATGAGCCTTGAACATGTTGAAGTATAAACAAAGTTGAGGAACCCCTAAAAGATCTGAAAACTGTTGAAAAGAAAATGGCATTTTCAAAGAGTTCAAACATTTTCAGGTAGCCTCTATTCTTTTTGAAAATGCCAGTTTCTTTTCAACAGTTTCCAGATCTATTAAGGGTCTCTCAATTTTGTTTCCACTTCGGCACCCATCAATTTCTAGCACACTTCCATCAGTACTGATTAGTTCTTACAACTGCCTTGGTTTAGCTGTGGATATGATGTATTCAATTGTTTTAGGGCAAGGTTTGGGTTGGTCAGGAAGAATTTTCCCTATGCTTTGTCTTCTCTTTCTGATTTCTCTAGATAGTGTATCTGCACCTGTACTTTTGCTTCTCGACTGGACATTTTTCTGTGGGTTTGCAACTTTTTTGGCTTGTGTCAATTTTCTTCTTCTCTGTTGCCAATCTCTTTGTTTTGTTTTTTTCATTTTCTCCATCTGTGTTTTTGTATTCAGGTTAAGTCTTTGTAATTAAGTTTTACATTGTTTTGTTTTCTTTGTTCTTTCTTTGCTTATATTTGTCTAGTGTGTCCTTTAGGTGGATCTTCTTTCAGAGTTTTTCTCAATTTTCTGCTCATCAAAGTTATAGTCGATGTTTACTTTGATGGTGTGTTTTGATCCCTTAGTCTGTCTGATTTTCTTCTCAAGTTATATCAGTTTTATCAACTATCTTTCCCATCTTTCATTCATTCAAAGGTTGGATCTGCAAGATGAACTCCAAATGTGTGAGACTTTAATAAAATAAAAATATTGAATCTGTGCAAAACTGCTTGTTATGGTAAATTCATGTCAGGAGTTCAACAAAATTAATTGTTTGTTATTACAGTTATAATAATTTAATTAGTATTACATGAAACCATTATAAAACTTTTAAATTGAAATATGGTTATTTCCTAATCAAACGACACAGTTTATGACAATTAGCTTCCTAAATTCTAAAATTATATAAAAAATCATCATTCAGATATAATTGCTTGTGACAAACAATAATTTTTGGATCGAAGTCCTGTTTTGATACTCACCTCTAAGAATATATCATACATGTAGCCTAAATAGTAAGAACACATTTTTGATGGCAAATAATTCATAAGGAGCTGAGATTATCTTAAAATGTAAGTCCAAGAAAATAACATTTTAAAACTGTTGTACTCCTGACATCAAAGAAATGGTTCTAAAAAAAAATCCTTGTCTATCAGGCTACTCTTTGGGTGCAATCTTGTATCTAGTATAGTATCTTTTAAAAAATAAAACAGAACAATATATTGGCTTTTGTATTTCTTAAGTGTGAGTTTTTTAACTTCAAAGTTGCACTCCTGACACTTATAGGGAGGCCTTATTTACTTGACTATCACACATTTATATCAATAATCAGGTTAATAAAGTATTTATTCTGGAAAGGACATATCTTTTTTTACAGGGTTGACTTTTGTTTATGTTTAGGTGTGATTCATATATTCAAAAATCATTCTATTCCACAGCTGTACTAATTATTGTGTTGCACTCCTGACAGGGCAATACTTTTTTTCAAAACACATCTGTATCAAAACAGTTTAATGGACAAACTTCATTTGTAGCTAAAATCATCACTTAGACATAATAGTTGTAATATAAATAAGAATCTATGGCACATATCATCATATTACAAGTTGCTGTGTCTTTATAGAAAAAGTATTTTTTCAAAATGTCACAAAAAAGTGTTGCACTCCTGACAATTTTTGCATCTTTTTTTATCGTAATTTTTTTAATACTTGAGATTTTCCAAAGATATTTTGCAGGATTATTCTACACATCAAGCCACCAAATTCAGCCCATTTTAACATTGCAAAGACTGCCATTTAAAAAAAATAGAAGCGAAATGTGATGAGACGTGAACTTATGTATACAATAAGTGATATGTATGATATAGTTCAAAAATATTGTTTAAATGAAATTAAAATGTTAAATCTGAAAGTTATATACACTTAATCTAGAAATCATGGGCTTTTTTGAGGATGTATAACTGTTTTGATATGATATATATTGAATGTCAGGAGTGCAACAAAATAGGAGGAATAAAGTTCCTTATATAGGTAATAATTTTAAAAAATAATAATAGTTCAGAAAAACTTTGAAGAATGCAGATCTCTTTTTAAGTTGTCAAACAACAATTCTACTGAATATTTAATAGAATTTAGTTCATAGTTTGGTAACTTAACCTCATTTTTATAATAATATGTCAGAAAAATCAATTTAAATATGATCTGAAGTGCATAAGATGCATAAGTTAAAATAGAAATAACATTTAAATGACAGATTTAGGTCTTTATAAACCAGCAATGATTACAAATTTAAAAAAATCATGAGTATTATGTTCTAGTTTCTGCATTTTTTGTTTGGTGTATAATATGTCAGGAGTGCAACAAAAACAGGGGAAATTGGATGTATTTTCATTTTGATATTTCTTCTTTATTAAAAGATTTATCTATCAATTTTTTTTTCTCAGTGAATTTGAAAAAGGTTTAATTTTAATATGGAGAAGTTTTTTTATCAACTAATTGATGAATTATTTTTTAATCAAAACTTTTTCAATCAACTTTAAATGAATTGATACAAAAAATAGCCAAAAACATAAAAAAAAAAATGATAATCAAAGAGGAGATTAATAATCTATGCATCAAAAGTTATGTTTGGATCTCTGCAATCAATAGGGGTGAAAAAAATATAAATATTTGATAGTGTTTGTCTGAAATAATATTCCAAAAAGGTATACTTGATTTAAATTTGTTTTATTGGTTTATGTCATTTAAGTTTCAGAACTTTTTTATTTCTTTATACTTTTTTATATCCTTTTGGATTTATTAACTTAAATGTATATGTATCAAGATACAACAAAAGAAAATGCATTAAAACAATGTTGAAATTTGGTAAAAAAAATTAAATTTGGACCATTTATTTTGACTTTGCCCATAGGTAATTTGAAAATTACTTGTTTAAGTAATGCCCCTAACTAAACAATGGTAATATGTTTTTTTTAAATAGCAAACTAAGTTCTTTTATAGAAAATTATGGCTACTTTAAGAAAAGTTGTAATTCATTAGTGGAAGCCTGGTTTGAGGGGGCAATACCACCATTGTTTTCCCTCTAGTAAGTCTCTCTTTACTTGGCATTTTTTTTTTAATTGTGCAGATTAAGCTTTGTTTTAAATAAAGAAATACTTGGCATGAGTAAAATTATTTTCCCCCTATAAGTCTTTAATTGTCATGATTGTTATATTTCAAAAAAAATTTGCAGAATTTATCTATGTTTTAAATAAAGAAATACTTGACATAAATAAATGTCCTGTACTACTTTTTTTCCCTGTAGAATATAGTAGATTTTTATTGCTTTGAAACACCCAAGAAACATGTTTACGACTCAAAAAAACTTTTCTGCAATGAAATGGAGGGTTAATTTCAATCAACTGTCAAATTAAATGGAATACAAAAAAAGATCAACCCTTTTTGCATGAAACTGAATGTACTATGTTTTGGTAGTATGGTTATAAATCAATAACCATCAAGTTTGTGTCTTTGATGACTTTTATATTTCATTTAATATAGTATAAATTTAAAATATATTTATATTTCAATTATAAAATTTGAGTGTTTTTTTGTATCATGTGTATTGAAAAAGAATGATAATTATTAAGAAAATGTTTTAAAATCATTTTCTTTCTGTGAGGACTTGATACCAAGCATTGTACAGTAATATTGAAGAATTTCTCATCTATTTTATAGTTTTGTAAAATTAATGCAAGATTTGTTTGAATAGACCAGATGTTTACACAGGTGTTAATGGAGCTTCCTCTATAATGCTCTACTTTCCTTATTATAAAAGTGCTATAGCTTTGATTGACATCTTAATGGATCATGATAATTATTGTCACATAAACTGCTGAGAAGAGCCTACTTAAAAAGCTCCGAGCATCCTCCGAGCATGCTCGGAGCTTGCTCGTAAGAATAAATCTATGATCCCTAAATTGCGTGTTCAATTATGGGACCAGCAAATATTTTACTTCATCTACATGACCCAAAGCCCATCACTCCAAAAAAATTGTCAACTTTATCCTTTTAGCATGTTTAGAAATAGAAATAACTCGTGGGGGCTTAAATTTATATTGGTTTGCCCTTTATGAAAAATATTTTACTGCAAGTAATGGGGTAACTAGGAACTTTTAAAACAGATGATAACTTGTCTTAAACTTGGCAGTATTGTAGTACTTACCCACACAATCATCTTGTTTGTTTTCAGATTGACACCTCAAACAAGCATCTGGAAATATAAAATACATCTAATACAGTCCATATTATGTCACTGTACACCCAATTATGTCTAGCATGTGTAGGACGCTGAAACGTGTTATTTTCCTAAATGCCAATCATCTCAGCACTTCAGAAATGAACAAACAGGTCCACCTTAGTTTATGATTAATTTCATATGAAAAGTTTTTGGTTATCACACTATAAGGGCAGAAATACCCTTCGACGACACGCGCCAATTGATAAAATTTTTTATTGTGATGTCCTTTGGCCTGTCATGATTCGTTGGAGGTCTCAACAAATTAAACTTTACCGTTATTTTTTTTTTTTAAATATACTGGGAATTGTCAAAATCAGCTGATTCTTGTACGGTTAATAGACTTTTTTCATTTTACCGACTTTTCACTCCAGATTATATAATTTTTCGACAGGTAACCTAATCTGTGGTAGGACATCTTGGTACTCGGTCAGGTAAGACCAAGCAAAAGAAGTAAAATCAAACATATAATCTGTACAATTTTGGGGGAAAGTTGACTGTTTTCCGATTATTTTGTTGTGTATAGAAAATATTAAACAGTTAATTTTCCCTCCACCTATTGAAAGCTTGATTTTACTTCTTTACGTCGCTCTTACTTGACTGAGTTCCAGGATGTCCTACCAAAGAGTAGGTTACCTGTCGAAAAAATATAAACTCTGGAGTCAAAAGTCAGTGAAGTAAATGATGGCCAAATATTTTTTATTATTTGTACTATACAAAACCCTACCAGATACCTACAAGCTCTGCAAACATAGCTTTTGTGTATTCTTTTGAAAGATTTTATGGCTCAAGAATACACGACTTTCCATTTTCCAGTTGAACTGCCCAGTTGACCTGCGGTCAATTTGAGAAAACGTGTCATAGGACATTGTGACCTGAAGATATTATTTGCTTTGCGACGTCAAATTTTTCAAGGAAAATGCATTAATTGGAAGATCATGTATTGAACTAGTGTGGGATTATTCCATTTTTAGCATGTTCAGTCTCAAAAATTTCTCATATCAATACATTTTAATTTTTAACATTGAAAATATGCCTCATTTGACATCATGTTTAACATAATGTACGGTATTTTACTCTTTGGAGGTCTCACTAATTAGCAACAAGAAGCTTCAAGAAGAGACAAGAAAGTAAATTTAGGGTGAAGATATCTAAATAATGATTATTTGAAATAAATAGATATAGAAACATGCATTAAAGTGTGTATGGTTTTGTTTTGAATATACACAAATTTTTATTATTTCATGATACAGGGAGAAGAAAATAAACATTTGTTCATTTGTTCTAGAAGAATTTTTTTATTTATCAAGGTTATGTCTTAATAGATATATTTACAGTTTACAGTTTAGTGTATAAATGAATGAATCGATTATATGTAGAGTCGGCATGGCTGATATATCAAAGTTTCAAACCAAATTATAAGATAATCTAATCTTTATTTATTTCACTATAAAGGTCCATATATATATAGGATGGGACATGGGGATAGTTACAAAATGTTCAGATTGATACATACATGTACTTTAAAATAATGTAATAAAATAATTTTTACAAAAATTCATTACAAGACTACTTACTACAACTACATACATAGTGCTACTAAATATAACAAAATTAATCAACTGCAATTAATTGACTTCAGGGGCAGATTTTTTTTTGGGGGGGGGGGGGGGGGGGCGGGCCTCCCCTTATGGAGCTTTATTTATGGTTTAACCCGTTTTCACTACAAATAATTTCTAGTTTGGGGGCCTGTGGGCCCCCCTTTTTCAAAATCCTGGATCCGAGTCTGGAATTTTCTATAAATTTATTGTTTTAATAGTATATAAATTTTCTTGTCACTAAATTTGGCTTCTTGTCGTTAATTTTTTTCTTCTTGTCGCTATTTTTTTTCTTGTCTCTAATTAGTCAAATCGTTCTTTAGTGAGCCGTAACAAATTTTCCGTATATAATAATTTTTTGATCGTGATATGATACGGCGATTAGTCCAAATACCCCGTCCCTAACAATATCTGCAAATGATCTAACTTGGTGTGTAGAAGATTCTATCTTGTCGAAAATGTCCGACTGTGTTCAATGATCATGACAAAGCTGTCAAATGTTTTTGTTGTGAAATATCAAAATATGGCGTCTTTACTGCAAGATATTTGTAGCGTACCCATGACTTGGACACGACATATTGCACAAGTATCACACTCAACATCCCAGCTCCACATAGCAACCAAATTCCATTTCTTAAGAGTGAACATTTTCTCTGGTTTCTTAGCCGTTTCGCGATCTACTTCCATTTCGTCAGCCATTTTATATTGACTGTAAAGTGTTAATTTAACGATCGATCTTTTCACCACCGAATTAACACCACCACGCACCCCGCCCAAATACCACCAAATACCCCGAACATCCCATTTTTTTTTCATTTTTCTTCATGACCTAGCTATATCTAAAAATGAAAAAAATTGCCCGAAAAAAACATCGAGGAGAAAAGGGGAGTCTTTTAAAACACCACAAAAATATATTTGTTTTTATGTTACATCAAAAGTTGATCTAACTCTGGGACTATTATAGTATATTATGTCTCAGCCTAGCTGTAATATTTTTTTAAATAGTTCTACAAATAATAAGAAATAGAGACCGAATATCAACATCGAACAAAAAATGAGAGTCGCGTCAGTATAAAAAAATATCACAAGGACCTAATTAAGACGGCTACAGTTCCGCAGCTAATGGAAATGAAATAACTGAACTTTTTTGTTTACTTCTTTGTTTACTTCCAACTTTATATAGAATAGAGAATGTAAACGTAGAATGGGCCAAAGAGACAACAACCCGACCAAAGACCGGCAGAAAACAGCACAAGGCCACTGACTAAACGGGTGGTCAAACTGTATATATAATAGAGAATGGAAACATGAAATGTGTCAAAGATACAACAACCCGACCAGAGAGCAGAAAAAAAGTTAACACACAGCCGCCAAATGCATGGGTCTTCAACGCAACGAGAAAATCCAGCACCCGGAGGCGAGCCTCAGGTGGTCCCTTGACAATTACATGAATAGTGTATACTAGTTCAGCGAAATGGATTGTTGAAACTGGTCTTTATGATGTGCATATTCATACATATTTTGAATCACACGAAAAAAAAATCCATTTGTGTTATTCTGCAATAACTTGAAGAGAAGTTATTAATTTTCACAGTAAAGAGTCAATGTAACCTTTTCTTTCTCAGTTTTAATAATTCAAATAAAGATGTTTTCTGCTCTTTGGTCAGCTTGTTGTCTCTTTGACATATTCCCCATTTCCATTCTCAATTTTATGATAAAAATGTCTTCAGTCGTAAAATAATTCCTGCCTAAAAACTGCTTGTTTTTCAGTTTGTAAACATAGTTCTTTAAGATAGTTACATAATCGTGTGTTCAATATTAAAGAAGAAAGTTTAACCAGAGAAGATAATGACGTTATAGGCCTATAAGTTTGAGACTCATTTTCAACGCCTCTGTTCTGGGGGTTTATTCCCGATTGTCCCACTTTTTAAAATTTTATTAGAGTTCTGATTGTTCCACATTATTTTATAAAGTAAAATGTTCTTAAATAAACAAGGTAGTTATTGTTTGTTTTTTCTTAATAAACAAGGATTAATTATTGCATGTTCAAACGTTTATTTAATATCAATTTAATAAAAGTATAAACATATTCTTTTTTTAAATCATCAGATTAATGCGAAGTCTGGTGGGACATTTTAAGTGACAATCATTCAGTGCAGCTTTACTGTGAATTAAGCATGTATGACGACGAAATCTTGTTTCAAATGTTACTCGGTCGAAAACCACTGACAAATTTTTCAAACATAGATGAATCGGTTCAGTTTCTCAAGCTGTGTCATGCACATGTTATCCAGTGTGTAGCAGAATATGGTCGATCTCTTAGACAGTGTTATTAGGTGTGCCAATGCATGATGTGTCACTGCATCAATACTTTTAATATTGCTTGTACAAACAGTCATTTATCTATTGTGTATTTACTTTATATTTTTGCTCTGATATCATACTAATATTTTGTCTGTAATTATGACGTTTACTTATATTCACTAACTGTATGTTCATTTAATCTCATTTATGAGGAATTAAAGATATGAATGAATGAATGAACTTTTTAATAAATAATATAACATTTCTGAGTTATAAAATATATCTATAATGTTACGTTTATTTATAAAACAAATATCAATACCGTTTAAGGACTACATCACAACATACTTAATTGAAAGCAACAAGCAGCTATGATACCATTACCAGACCGAAGGAACCACTTCGAAGGATGACACAGCAGGTTGAAGAAGATGATCCAAGTACCACACCCAAACATACACACGCTACTGAACTACCTTAAAGAAGAGCAGGCAGCAAAATAAAATATGTAAATATTATTATTTGTTCATGCTTATTTCATATTGTATAAGTTACATTGATTAGTTACCTGTAATTATCTACTACACACTATAGCAACAATTCTCGATTGTCCCACATTTAACTTTCCCAATTGTCCCACAAACATATTCCCGAGTGTCTCACAAAATTTCATTACTTATTTACCTATAATTTCAAAAGGTGGGTCAATCGGGAAGACACCGTTCTGGTATACAGGAGTTACATTGCCTATTAATCACGACTCCGGCAACACTCCTGTGTCAAATATAAAATTATATTTCAATAAATAATATTGAAAAAAAAAAAATTAAAACATATATCCATTTTAAAAATTATATTGTCGCCAGGTGTTTTATTGTTTTTCTGACTTCTTATGGCCTTCATCATTTTATCCTTAGTGATACAAGTATTAAGAACCGATACTTTAGAATGTGTCAAAACAATATAAGTATAATTAGGTCTTATCTGGGAACAGTATATCTAACTCAATATATATGTTTCTGGTCTTATATATTGATAATATTGAATAGTTTTATAAAGCCAAAAAAACAATAGTTATAAAGGAATGGAAGTATAGATATGTGAAATCAGAACAGTTCCAGCTATTAAAACTTTCTTATTCATTTTTATCATAGCATCAAACCCATAACACTGTATGATTGTGAGAACTAGGGAGTAATTAACATTAACCAAGATTGAAAATAAAATCTTCCTCTTTTTGATATTTTCAAAGAAAGGAAGTGGAAAAGCTTAACTGACCGACCAAAATTTTAATACTTTCTCTGTGTTACTAAACTCTGTACATGTACTGTTGTTCCGCCTAACAGAAGTTTCCCTGGAAACTTTGTTATAATCCGAATGCCATAATATCTGTTCCTGTTGGAACAAATATTTGATACCTTTCATTCCATTAGGAACAAATACTGTGACATTTGTTCCAGTGGAAATACTATTACAGAATATTTCTTCCATTTGGAATTTATTTCATGAAAGAACTTATATTTCGTATCATAACAATACAGTGACTGTCAGAATTTTGGAGATACCCTGTTGAAACAATTATATTTGTACTTGAAGAAATGTCGCTGAAACAATTGTATTTGTACTTGAAGAAATGTCGCTGAAACAATTATATCATCAAGTTGTCTTCTTCTTCTTCTTCTATTGCATGGATATCCTTCCATTCATGGAACACCACATACAGCTGTGTATGTGTATTGAAATGTGACACACAATTTTAAAATTTATTCATACTAATAAATTTAAAATCTAAAAGGACACTTTTAAACAGTATAAATAGGGGAAATTAATTTTAAAATTTATATATACAAATAAATTTAAAATCTAAGAGGATACTTTTATACAGTAAAAGTTAAGCGGGAATAAACTTAAAATCTACAAGGATACTTTATACAGTATAAGTTAAGCGGGGAGAATACCCTGTCTCTCCCTGTTCATCTGTCTATATACATACATACAAAAATTTGGCAAAGCACTGTTCAGTAGCCACATTATATACAATGTCAGTTTATGATCATCTCCTTGTATCCTATATATCTGAGTTATTACTTTAAAAGTCTGATTCTATGTGTATGAAGTTTATAGCATAGACTTGCCGAAAGATTATGGATATTGATAATGTCCTCCTTTTTGAATAATGCACAGAAGTGGCTACAGTCGATTACAAGCTGTACAATATCTTGTTTCTTTGAGAAAGTGTTTTTCCAAGTTTGTGGCCCAATGATGTTTATTGTATACATTTTCAGTTCTTGAAAAGCTTCTTTTCTTTGCTTAAATAGAGCCGGACAGTCTAGCAAGAAATGAATCTTATCTTCATCGCTCAATCCACAGCATTTACAAGTAGGTGCTTCCTTTCCTCCAGAATATTGATATTTTAGACTTTGTAAGAGATATGTTCCAGTAATTAGTCGTGCTTTTATAGTGCCTTTCTTTATATCTGAGATAGTTGAATTTAGACTGCTCCAGGATGGGTGAGTGGATCCAAAGGTTAGGCAGTTTTGACTTAAATGTTTTAAGGTAGATTTTTGTGATATATCAGATTTTAATTTTTGTGTCCAGAACTCTCGGATAGATGATTTGACTGTAGATTTCCACGATAGCTTAGTGGGCAAGCGTTGTTGGAGAGCAGTTATCTCTGGTAATTGATATATTGATAGAAGCGGTTGGATCCTGTTAAAGAAGCTTGTTGGATTTTGCATATTCATGAGGATTTAACGCTCAGAGAGATCCCTAATTGTACTGTTTTCGCATGAAAGTATATTATGGAGGAATGTCAGTTGCCTTTTGTGTATTTCTGCCTCAAGGGGCAATGCTCCGATAAGTAATAATACTGCACAGTTTGCTGTCCTGATAGGTAGAGATTGGAAGCTTTTCAAGTTCTTTAAATGAAATATATTTAATTTGTCCATCTGGGAATTGTTTAGTGATAAAATTTCCAATCCATAAATCAGTCTTGGTAAAACATGGCATAGATAGATTTTATAAGATGTTGCCGGGTTTAATCCATTAGTTCCATGTACTCCGGTTTTAATAAGAGAATAAAGTGTTCTCCTGGCTATGCTCATTCTAGCATCAATATTAAGGTTGTTTTCTTTTAGTTCAGATCTTATTATTCCCAGATGGGTTGTTTCTTTGGAAGGATATATGGTGGTGTTGTCCAATGTCCAACTTAGTGTTGATCTATCCATTTTTGCGGATTTATTGAGAATGACAGCTTTAGTTTTTTCAGGGTGCAGCGTTACCCGGTCCTGTTTAGAATGCCAGATAGCGGTAGATACCATTGTTTGAAGTTCTGACGGCTCGCTACTCAAGAAAGCAATATCGTCTGCACATGTTGGGCAGCCTACGTAGGTTGTTCCAATTTTTAATCCGATATTATGTGTTTTTAGGTCCTCAAGGAGGTCATTCACATACATTTTATATAGAAAGGGTGACAGTACTCCTCCTTGTCTTACTCCTTGTTTGATGCCAAAAGAGTGGCTGAGGATACCTTTCCATTTGACTTTTGATGTTAGACCCGAATAGAAATCCTTGATAACTGTCCATAATGAGCTATTTGGAATATTTTCATAGAATTTGTCCATCATTATAATGTGGTCCACTACACCAAACGCTTTTTTACTATCTACTGTCATGAGAAATAATGAATCTAATGTTGTATGTTTGGATTCAGCTCGCGCTTCATTGATGATAAAAGCGGCCATTAGCATGCAAAGTCCCTCTGTAAAGCCAAATTGGAGAGTAGAAAGCAAGAAGATTTTGGAAAGACCTGGAAGGATGGAACTTTCAAAGAGCTTGGAGATAATAGGCGTCACTGTAATGCCTCTGTAATTGTCCATAATAGATGCTTCTTTTCCATTTTTCAATACTGGTGTAAGAATTCCAGATTTGAGATTGCCAGGGACTTTTCGTTCTTTCAGAATTTTTCCAAATAGGTTTGTGAGAAACGTTGTAACAGAGTACGGAGAATTTTTAAGATGTTCAGATGAGATTCCAAATTCATCGGCAGCTTTTACTTGAAGAAATGTCGCTAGACCGAGATTAGAATTCTTAGAAAATAAATGTCAAAAGTTTCTCATCCGAAGGAAAATTGATTTAGAAAATATTCTTATCTGGATCATGACAAATGAAGATTTTGATTTTGTTACAGTTTTTAGTCTTTTTTCAGATGAGACAGAAAAAAAGATAGAAATTACTGTAGAGTTAACAAATTGAGTTATCCCTCGTTGTACACCTTTTTTCATTATTATAGATAACTTTTAATTATTACATCTATATGTTTGTTAAATAACATGTGGTTATTTTTGGATATTGTATGAACTATGCGATTTGTTTTGATTCGTGTGCTTCAATAGATTATAAGGAATAAAGAATTTAGATTTTTGTTTGTTTGATATTAAGTGGTAATTCAACACTTTATAATGTTAGCCATGATATACACAATCGATACAAAATGTCCATCAAATACAAACTTTAGCAAATTCTTCAACAAATATTAATCCGATAGTAATTCCTATTATAGACGATAATGTCGTCTTTTTTGTATCAAGGTATTGCATTTTAGAGATAAACAATAATAAATGTTGTAAATGCGTCGAGGATTATCAAATCACGTGACGAAAACACTACCCTACTATGAACACGGAAGTAAAAACTCCTGTGTAGCAAACAAGTGCAAAATGTGAAGTGTTTCGCAAATTATAGTGAATATTTCAAGCTTGGAATCAAAATGAGCAACGAAGAAGAAAATGACTCAATTTACGCCAACGAGGACATTACTAAAGTTGCGAATATCAGCAAACTCTTACAGAACATGCACATTGACAAGCTTTTAGAAAATGATAAAAAGGAAATTGAACGTCTTGATGAAAACGTTAAATGGTATCACAAGAAAATACCAAGAGATACAGCAGAGCAGCTGCTTAAGGAAGGTAATTTTAAATTGAAAAATGAAATAAAATGCATGCAGTGTGTATAAGACTCCAATGTGATTGACAAATGTATGTAGGTCTCAAGGCAGAATCTCATGAAAATACAATGTACTAGGAAATAATTAGTTTATTCATATAAATTGTGCTATCATTTATGGGGCTCCTATAGGGTACCTTCTTAGGTCACAAGCTTGTGTTTAAAAATTTCCGCAGTGCTTAAAATTTTCTTAGAAAGCTGGACACATCAAAAGCCATAAGGCCGTACACGATACCAACTCAAATATTAAAAGAGGCAGCAGACCAAATATCGTCATTTCTAACATATATATTTAATCAGACTTTAGAAATTGGGACAGTACCATCAGACTGGAAGCTTTCGAGACGCGTCATCCATACTTCCACATCGTCCATAGGATGTGTCGGCCATACTGCTACATCGTCCATACCTTGTAAAGATGTATCGTCCATACTTTTAAGTATTTTTTCGATTGTGGTTATAACATAAAATATAATAATACAACAAGTATTATTTGATAGTTATAACATAAATATGATTTTGTAGTATTTATTATGTACAAGTTTGCCGGTTTGAAAGAGTCAGTATAGATGTCGACTATATATTTATTTTTACTAAGTAGACTCAGAGACATATTATTATAATACAGCTTTTTGACAGAAAGTAGAAACTAAACAGCATATTCCATCTGTGCAGAACTGCGTACCATATTTTATTCTCTTTATTCTCGTAAGAACAAGAATTTCTCTACCCAATGTATGTTTGTCTCCCTGGAACTCAGCTTTTGTGCTGTTTTTTAAAGTGATCTTGTTTTGTATTTCCTTTACAATTTCTTGACAAAAACATAATTTATACTTACATGTATGTTCATCAAAGAAATGATAATAAGCAATTAACATTCTTCTTAAATTTTACAATTTTAAAAATTAAGGGTTCAAATTCATTAATTTGAATAAGAATATTAACCTAACATAAGCAAATTGACTACTGACAAGAGATCATAGAATATAGCACTCCACATTTTAAGGTAGATAACCAGAGTTGATTTGTAGCCTGGATGGTTTCAGTCCTTGCTTGGATCCTCATCAGAGACAAAAGTGAGGAATTCACAGTTCTAAAAGAAAGGCAAAAGATACCAAAGGGACATTGAAATTTGTAAGTTGAAATAAACTGACAACGCCATGGCTAAAAAAGAAAAAGACAAACAGACAAACAACAGTACATATAACACAACATAGAAAACTAAAGACTGAGCAACAAGAACTCCACCATTATTACTCCTGTGTACTTTGTTCCATTTCATAGCGTTAAACAGGCACTGATCTGTTTTTAGATCTGCACACGATTCCATATGGATACGGAAAACATGCATTGTAGCATAATGTTGCTATCAAGAGATATAGAAATTTATTTGTAACTCTGTACTAACAGTATAGATCAACATATTCAGGTTCTCAGCCTAGGCTTTAGTGACCTCTATTTGAGCCACACTCTATCCCTAGAAGATAGCACTTCACGTCTTAAGATAGAACCTGAATATGTTGATCTATACTGTTAGTACAGAGTTACAAATAAATTTCTTTACTTGACAATTTGTAGCCTGACCAATTTCAGTCCTTGCTCTGACCTTCATCAGAGGCTAAAGTAAGGAATTCACAGATCTACCTCCTTAAATATTTAGTTCCTTATTGACTCAGGTACTCCACCTTAAGATGTGGAGTGCTATCTTCTATCCTCTTTAATCATTTTTCACTCGAGGGGATGCAGGTTCAGCCAAATTTCAAAACCAAATCTTTGTATTTGAAAGAATTTAGTGAAAGTTTTAAGTAATTTATAGAAAAGAAATATCTGACTTGAAGGGGCATTAGCTGTCAAATTCATGTTCACCTATTTAACTCAAATTCTCATGTTTGCTTTATAACATACTAAAATGTATATCCAAATTACAATAAGTATGAAATAAACAATTAACAATGCATAGACTCGAAAATATACATTAGCATTTCGTGTGTATTATAGATATTTTAGTCTAGACCCCATCTAATTAACTATCGAGATGACCTCCGAAGACTGTCGATGGTCACATAACCCGATATAAACATAAATATAAATAGATAGCGACCTAGTGCAATTGGACTTTTCTAGGTCTGTTTGATTTGATGTTATAGGTTTAAAAAAATAAGTTAATCAACGATTTTACCAATATAAGGACGATTTTTTGTGGATCGAAACATTCAACGAAATGGTTCACCTTTGTTTCACTTTCAATGTTGACATTTATTTCCTTTTAATGGCTGAACACAACTTACACATGTGTAACCAATCTCTAGCTAATGGGTTAAATTGAAGGTCACATGAATATGGATTCAATGAGGTCGAATTATTCACTTGCAAGTGAATAATTCTTCAGCGATGTTTCTCAGCTTATTTTGACTAAATTGAACTAAACTGGCTGCTAAAAGCCAATTATTATTTCACTTTTTTACTTTCATTAATGATTGAACAAAAAAAAATCATATTTTAATTTTTGTTATATCTCGTAGCTAATGACCCTTTAATAGTTTACCAGTTAAATATAGCCTATAGATGTTAAATCTTAAACATCAGCATAGAGAAGGACCTGGGAAATATACACACTGTAAGAATGGGACAAAGGTGAGAACAACTTGGGAAATATACACACCGTAAGAAGGGAACAAAGATACAGCACCATCCATAAAAGGGAAACTAACAATAGGGAAGGAAGAAAATCATCTCTTTATTAGTTAATTTTTTTTTTTATTTTCTCTTGTGAAACTGATATATCCAAATCCAGAAAAGGACAATTATTGTTGTTAATATTAGAATAGATATATTTAATTGTGCTTTAAAATTTAGATATTTCTAGCTAGGTATGAAAGTGAATAGGATTTTATAATCATTGAAATAATGCAATAGTTACATACGTTTGAACATTTTGAAATGTCCACATCATCTGTCTATAACCCATCCTACATGTTGGTGTATGTAAGTTTTTGTACATTTGTTGATCCAGAATTAGAAGATAATGTATGTACTTTTCTATGTTGAATGACATACTGTTCAATTTCAATTCCCTTTCCTGTTCACAGTTGTATCATTGGATCTGATCTTACTTCATCTTCATTAGATTTTTCTAACTACTGAAGTTACATGTGCTGGTATTACACCCATTCAACGGACAGATCTATTTGATTAGATATATCCCATTCAAGGGACAGCTCTATTTGATTAGATATATCCCATTCAAGGGACAGCTCTATTTGATTAGATATATCCCATTCAAGGGACGACAGCTCTATTTGATTAGATATATCCCATTCAAGGGACAGCTCTTTTTGATTAGATATATCTCATTCAAGGGACAGCTCTATTTGATTAGATATATCCCATTCAAGGGACAGCTCTATTTGGTTAGATATATCCCATTCAAGGGACAGCTCTATTTGATTAGATATATCCCCTATTTGATTAGATATATCCCATTCAAGGGACAGTTCTATTTGATTAGATATATCCCATTCAAGGGACAGCTCTATTTGATTAGATATATCCCATTCAAGGGACAGTTCTATTTGATTAGATATATCCCATTCAAGGGAAAGCTCTATTTGACTAGATATATCCCATTCAAGGGACAGCTCTATTTGATTAGATATATCCCATTCAAGGGACAGTTCTATTTGATTAGATATATCCCATTCAAGGGACAGCTCTATTTGACTAGATATATCCCATTCAAGGGACAGCCCTATTTGATTAGATATATCCCATTCAAGGGACAGCTCTATTTGACTAGATATATCCCATTCAAGGGACAGCTCTATTTGATTAGATATATCCCATTCAAGGGACAGCTCTATTTGATTAGATATATCCCATTCAAGGGACAGCTCAATTTGACTAGATATATCCCATTCAAGGGACAGCTCTATTTGAGTAGATATATCCCATTCAAGGGATAGCTCTATTTGATTAGATATATCTCATTCAAGGGACAGCTCTATTTGAGTAGATATATCCCATTCAAGCAGATATAATTGTGCAATATTTTACAATGGTTACTAGTATTATACTTTTCTTTAAACATACATACAAGTAGTGAAGTACATTTGGAGCATATATTTGTTATAAAAGTTGATTATTTTGAGTTATGTATTGAAGTTTTATAGTGTTACTTTAATATCCTTGGTGTTTTGTTCACCTATGATGTGAAAGAGATACAGAGCTGTATATCTATGACCTAATGTACTTGTCATTTAAAAATACAGAAGATTATGATAGTAAATTTATCTTTGAGAGTTAAAAGTTTATAAATAGAAGAAGGAAGTCACGATCATTACCTAGATTATAAAATTAAGATCTTAGATCTGTTTATCAGTAATCTTGCCTGCTTGATGGAAACACATTAAATGAGTGAACTTCAAATGTTTTTAAATCTTTCATTTACAAACCACATCATAGAATAAGAGGAACTGATGTGTATTGGTTAATGGGGTATGAATATGAAAAACATAATTAAAAGGAAATAATAGTCATTTAGGTTGTTTTTTTTTCAAATGGATGGAAAATATGATTTTATACCCAAGTGGGTAGTACCGATATCTCCCTTTATTCACAATAACAAAAAGTCTCTAAGTTTAATCTTGTTAATATGGCTTGCCTGTAGTTTACATTTTACAAACACATTAAAAGTGGTTAGAAATCATACTAACCTATGAGAAAGTTTGATATAAGCTTATTTATGGGATATTTGGAAGGTGAACAACTTACAGACAATGACATTTATACAAAATCATTAATTTGCTGATAGACTTTTTATAGTTTGAGAACAGTTAAGAGATAGGCAACACCACATTGAATTTCTTTTATCACATAGATTTTCAGCTTTTGAAGAAAAGTAATTTTAAAGAAATGAAAAATATGCCAGTCACTACCATAATTACAATAACAAAATACATTATGA